GGCAGAAGCAAGCTTGCTCCTTTATAACAATCCTCTCCCACGGGGCCACAAGAGCCGGGCAGAGTGATGCACGCCTATAGCTCCAACTACCCAGGAGGCTAAAGTAGATCATAAGTTCAAGGTCAGCCTCATCAATTTAGGGAGACCCTATCTCAACCCCAAAGCTAAAGAAGACTGAGAGGGTAGCTCAGTGGTAGAGCACTCCTGGGTTCAATCCCAAGACCATAAATCAATAAATAAACCAATTAATTAATGAAATAATTATATGCCAACAAATTGAATAACCCACAAGAAATTTGATAGGTTACTATAAGCATACAATCAGCCAAGACTGAATCATGAAGAAATAGAAAATCTGAAATGAATTATTACTAGTAAGGAGATTGGATCTAATAAAAAAAACCTCCCAACACAGGAAAACCCAGGATCAAATGGCATCACTGGACAATTCTCCCTAATACTTAAAGAAGAATCAATACTAATTCTTCTCAAAAAATTAAAGAAAATGGAACACTTATGAATTCATTTTATGAGTTCAGCATTATTCTGAAAGCCAGACAAAGATCCTACAGACTAAAATATCTGATGAATACTAATGCAAAAATCATCCAAAAATACTAGCAAATTAAGTTCAACAGCACAAGAGCATTATCAATCATCATCAAGTAGGATTTACCCCTGGAATTCAAGGATGGTTTTATATACGGAAAGGAATAAATGTAATGTGCCAATTAAAAAAATAAAGGACAAAAATCACATGATCATCTTAAATGATTCAGAAAAAGCATTTGATAAGATTCATCACTCTTTCATTATTAAAAAAAAAAAAAAAAAAAACTCAAAAACCTAGGAATAGCAGAAAATTACTGCCAGGCACAGCGTCACATGCCTGTAATCCCAGCTACTCAGGAGGCTGAGATAGGAGGATCAGGAGGTTCAAAGGTCAACTTGGGCAACTTAGGGAGACATTGTCTAAAAATAAAAAGAAAAAAATAAAATAAAAAGGGCTGGAGATGTAACTCAGTGGTAAAGTACCCCTGGGTTCAATCCCCAGTACCTTAAAAAAAAAGAAAAAAGTTACCTCCTCAACATAATGAAGGTCCCATATGAGAAATCCACAATTATCATCAACAGTGAAAACCGAAATTTTTTCTTCTAAAATCAGGAACAAGACAAGGATGCCTATTTTCACCACTTCTACTCAACATAGTACTAAAGTCTTACTCAGAGCAATTAGGTAAGAAAAAGAAATAAAATGCATCCAAATTGTGGAAAAAAAGAAGTGAAATAATCTCTTTGCAGATGACATGGTTTTATATATAGAAAACTCTAAAGAATTCATTTTTAAAAGCCCATCAGAACTAATACATAAATACAGCAAAGTTGCAAGATACAAAATTAATGTTCAGAAATTAGTTGCATTTCTATACATTAATAATTAACGACCTAAAAAGAAAATTAAGAAAAAAAAACATTTACAATAGCTTCAAGAAGGATAAAAATACCTAAGAATAACTTAACCAAAGAACTGAAGGACTTAAAATTGAAAACCACAAAACATTGCAGAAAGGAACTAAAGACACAAATAAATCCCATGTTTGCAGATCAGAAGATTTAATATCACTAAAATGTCCACACTAACTAAGCAGTCTACTTATTCAGTGCAATCCCTATAAAGATCCCAAAGCATGCTCTTCTGTATTTTGTTTGGGGTGGGGGACACTGGGGATTGAACCAGGGGTGTGTCACCACTAAGCTACATCTCTGGCCTTTTGCATTTTTTATTTTGAGACAAGGTCTTGCTACGTTGCTAAAGGTCTTACTAAATTGATGAAGCTGGCTTCACTTGTGATCCTCCTGTCTCATCCTCCCCCTTGGCTGGGATTACAGGCGTGCACCGCTATGCTGACCCCAGAGGCAATTTTTACAGAAATAGAAAAAGGCCTCAAATTCACAATGAACTTCAAAGGACCCAAAATAGCCAAATAATCTTGAAAAAGAAGAACAAAACTGAAAGCCTACACTTCCCAATTTCAAAATATATTACAAAGCTCTGGTAATCAAAACAGATTGGTAAGGGCATGAAGACAGGAATACAGACGAGTGGATCAGAAAAGAAAGTCCAGAAATGGTCCTCACTTAGCGAATGAAAGGCTGTTTAACAAGGTGCCAATATTACACAACAGGGAAAGGACAATCTCTTCAACAGATAGTTGTGGGAAAACTGGATGCCCACGTGCCAGAAGGATTAAGGCACGAAGACACACACCTGTAATCCCAGCAACCCGGGAGGCTGAGGCAGGAGGGTTGACCGCCAGCCCAAGGCCAGACTGGGCAACTGAGCAAGACCTGGTCTCAAAATAGAAGATAAAAGGGACTGGGGATGTCGCTCAATTTTAGAGTGACCCTGGGTTCAATGCCAGTACCAAAAAAAAAAGAATTAAGATGAACCTTTATCTCATGATCTAAGACCTGAAACCATAAAACTCCTAGGAAAAAGCACAGGGGAAAAACTTCATGACCTTGGTCTTGACAGTGATTTCTTGGATGACACCAAAAGCACAAATAACAAAAGCAGAAATAGACCAAGAAGACTACATCAAACAAAAACTTCCACGATCAACAGAGCAAAAGGCTACCTACGGAGGGAGAGAAAACATTTTTTGCAAACCGTATATTGAATTAAGAATGAATGCACATAATATACAAAGAACTCAACAACAAAAAGACAACCCAATTTTTAAAACTAGTAAAGGGTTTGAAGAGACATTTCTCCAAAGAAGATATACGAACAACATGCAAATAAAAAAATGCTCAGCCTCACTAATTATCAGGGAAATACAAATCACAACCACGATGAAGGGTAAGGGTAAAAGGGGATAGAGGAGGATTGGTTAGTGCATACAAAAACACAGTTAGGCCAGGCACGGTGGCGCACGCCTGTAATCCCAGCTGCTCAGGAGGCTGAGGCAGGAGGATCACAAGTTCAGAGCCAGCCTCAGCAATAGCAAGGCACTAAGCAACTCAGTGAGACCCTGTCTCTAAATAAAATACAAAATAGGGCTGGGGATGTGGCTCAGTGGTCAAGTGCCCCTGAGTTTAATCCCGGGTACCAAAAAAATTAAAAAATATACAGGTAGATAGGAAAATTAAGATCTAACGTTCCACAGCAAGGTAGGGTGGGTATAATTAACAGTAATTTATTGGTGGCTATAATTAACAATAATTTATTCTATATTTCAAAATATCTAGAAGACAGGATCTTGAATGTTCCCAACACAAAGAAATGACAAATGTTTGCGGTAATAGATATGCTAATTACCCCAGTTGATCTTTGCACATTTGACTATGTGTCAAAATACCACATAATACCCCATGAATATGTACAATTATCATGTGTCAATTAAAAAAAAGTAAGCCACCTTCCACGCATTCGGATAGCTACTATCAAAAACACAGCCTGACACAGTGGCTCACGTGTGTAATCCCAGACACCCAGGAGGCTGAGGTAAAAGGACCACAGATTCAAGCCAGCCTGGGCAATCTAGAAAGACCATGTCTCAAAATTTAAAAAAAATAATAATAATAATAAAAAGGGCTGGGACTGTAGCCCAGTGACAGAGAGCCCCTGGGTTTAATCCCCAAACCTGTAAAGAAAAAGAAAGAAAAACCAATACATCTGTGCTTGGTGGCACATGCCTGGAACCCAGCTACTCAGGAGGCTGAGCCAGGAGACTTGCACGTGCAAGGCCAGTCTCAGCAACTCAGTGAGAACCTGACTCAAAATAGAAAAGACCTGGGATGTAGCTCAGTGGTAAAGCGCCCCTGGGTTCGATCCCAGTACAAAAAGAAAAGAAGGAAAAAACAGTGTGCATAAGTTAATAATACTGCAATATACACTGAAAAGTACGGCATGTTTATGTTGTGTTTTTTTTTTTTTTGCCATAATAAATAGATAGACAGATAGATATACAGACAGAAGATCCACACTAAGAAAAAAAATGTGAACAGGTTCTTCACCACTTAGACAGCATAGTAATACTTGGCACAGATAAAAGGCATGTGTTTCATTTTTAATTGGGGAAGAGTTGTTGCTTTTCTGTTTGTTTGCAGTACTGAAGATTGAACCCAGCAGCACTTTACCATGGAGCTACATCACCAATCCTTTTTAGTTTTTGAAACAGGGTTTTTACTAAGTTGCTGAGCCTGGCCTCCAACTTGTGATCCTCCTGCCTCAGCCTCCCAAGGAGCTAGGATTACAGGCATGTGCCACTACACCTGGTGGTAAACGACGGCTACAGTGATGAAGAGGTGACAAAGGAGGGTCAGCCTGTTCCAAGGCCAACCAATTTTAGAAGGCTTAAGATCTAATTTTAGAAGGCTTTAGATTCTAATAAAACTCCCTGTGCCTGTTTCTTTGGGGAAATCTTAAACCTTGGGGTACATGCTCCCATTTCCAAATGCCTGATCCCAAGTTCTACAGGCTGGGGTTCCTGCCGTGTTCTCACTGGGGGGTCCCTTGGTGCAAGAGAGGGAGAGAAATGGAGAAGGCGTGTTGTTTCTTAGCAGCTGAGGCTTCCTCTCCTCCCCTGGCCTCCCTGCACCCCTACTCTTGTCCCACGACTTCCGCTTCTTGGAATAGCACGTTCGTTGGTGAGGATTCTAGGCTCCACACCCCGCGGGGCTCAGGACGGGGGTCTGGCCCCCTGTGGAATCACAGTAAGGATGAAATGAGACCTCCTCTGCACCTGGAAATTGAACAGGGATCTGAGTCTGGATGATGAAAGTCTGGAGACAGGGACACTTGGCCTCTGGCCCTCGGTGGAGCAGGAGGGAGGGTGACAGCAGGTGCCGGGATCCAGGAGTCCTCATTTCTCTCTTGCTCTGCCTGTGAGGTTCCTCCTCAGGTCAGAGTGGAGGGCAAAGACCACCCAGGATGAGAGGATCTCAAGGAGACTGACGGGTTTGACGAACGCCATCAAGGGACCAGGTAAGAGGGATACAAACTCCAAATCCAGCCTTTATTACCATCATTTTAGTGGCTACGCCGAGGGCGAAGGCTCAGCCCTGCTTAGCTCATCCCAGACACAGAGGCAGCTGGGGTGGGGGTGGGGGGGTCCCTAGACATGCTTCTCGACCCAGCTGAGGGCTATGGAGGAGGGAGAGGTCTCTGCCACTGCTGACACCAGGAGCAGGGAGACCTCAGCAGCAAGCCGACCTCTGGAGGTCAGGACCCAGCATCAGGCAGGAGTCAGACACAGACATCAGGCATTGGAGGGGTAAACAGACGGAACAGGTGAGGAAACTCCCGGGGTCCCCAAACAGCATTCAGATCTCATAGGGGGGCCCCTAGGGCCTGCTGGCTCCAGGGACTGAGACCCTCATGGTAGCACCCCCACACTGAGATATTCACAAAGGGGCCCTGGCATCTCCCCTTCCCCTGTTGAGCGAGGGTAAGGAGAAGGTCTGAGGGAGAAGCTAGGAGCGGCAGAGGGGTCAAGGAGGGAGCCTGGGAAGAGAACAGGGCTGGGCTCGGGGGGGCCTGGAGGGCGGTGGCGGGGCCTTTAGCTGCTACTCTGCTGCTCCTGCTGCCGGATCAGGTTGGCGATGGGGCCGGTGATGCCACCTATCAAGGTCCAGTACTCGTCAAAGCTGATGCGTCCATCGTGGTTGGCGTCCAGGTTCTGGATGAGCTTGTCGGCAGCCTTTCGGTTCCCGGTGTCCTGCAGAGGAACCGGGGATGGAGGGTGGCAACCCCAGAGAGCCTGGGCAGCTGTTGCCCTTGGAAGATGCAAACAGAGCCCTGGGGTGGGGGCGGGGGTGAGGCCTGGGCACCCTGGGAAGACCCGGGCCTCAGGGCTGCAGGGGAACTCAAAGGACAGAGGAGGACTCCTGGGGAAGGAGGCCCCGGCACAGCAGGAAGGGGAGAGGCAGGTCCCACGGCAGGGACTTTACCGTCAGCATGTGGTTGAGCTCCTTCTGAAGCATCTTGCGGAAGCTGCTCTTGCTGATCTTGTTCTTGACCAGGCTGTGCTTAGACACGTATTTGTAGAAGTTCTCCACCAGCACCACCACCGCCTTCTCTAGGTCCGTGTAGCAGTCGGCCATGGCGCTGCCTCAGCTCCTCCGGGGCCTGGTACCGAGGAAGGGACATAAGACATCCACAGGCCAAACCTGCTCCCTTACTCGCATGCTGCGCCCTGGCACCCCAGGGATGACTGGTCCTCAGGAAAAACGGGGGCCCAAGGGTGCCGGGGTGCGGGGGTGGGCCCTGGAATGAGAGCTCTGCGGCTCCTCTAATCCAGGTGCTCCCCAGCTCGACCGCCTGGACAGGTTCTCCAGGCCTTCCCCAGCCCAGGGCACCGGGCTGCCTGCCGCTTGTCAGCCCTGGTAAGAGCAAGGGGCTCCCTTTCGGAGGAGGACGGCGACTGCCCAGGCCTCCCACCCTGCTCCACACCTAGCACCGAGGGCCCCTGCCCGGGGCGGGGGGGCAAGTGCAGCTAAGAACTGCTAGGATGCGAACCGAAGCCCACCCCAAGCCCTTCTCCAGGCTCCAAGGCAGTGAGTCCAGAGGCTCAGGCCCCAGCCGCCCATCTCCAGGAGAGGACAAGATGCTGACCCATCACGTCAGATTTTGGGCAGCCTCCCAACCAGCCTGCCACGCCCAGCAAGCCTCTCTGCCCTCCTACCCACCCCTAAAACATACAGCAGAATCCAAGGAAGCCCCCTTACCCCATTACCTAAGGAGGAGCCAGGCTGTTCTGCCCCAGCTGGAGCCGGACCCTGGACACAACAGCTGCCTGCCAGAGGCCACTTGCGTCACCCCCTCACCCAAGGACAAAAGGCACTCACATTCCAGGCGGATACAGCCTTCTGAATAACAGGATATGAGGGGAGCAGGCGGATCTCCTCTGTGAGTCGCCGCCCATGCCCAGAGCCCCCCCAAGTCAACCCAAGCAAATCAGACACCCCTCCCACCCTCAAGGCCAAGAATGAGCTCCAGCCGCCTTCAGCTGGTTCTGGCAAGGGGAGATGGACCCAGCCACAGAGCAGGCTGACGGGAAATGGGGGTCTCCTTCTCTAGGCCCCACAATGCAGCCTCCTGCCCCTGCCACCTGCTTTCCCCCTACCCTCGTGGCCATTCCTACTCCCATGCCCATGGCCATGCCTGCTCCACCCAGCTGAGCCTGCCCATCACTCTGGCCTTGCCCAAACCACGCCCCCCTTGGAGGCCCGCCTTGACCCCTGCCCTCTGCATGTTCCTCCCCGACTCCTACAGACACGTCTGTCTTCACGGTCCCAGCCCTGTCTGGAGCCACTAACTGGCGTGGCCACTGTCTCTACAGCTCTGGTCTCATTCCTTGGGGCAAGCATCGTGTTTCTGAAATGCACCAGCTGCATTTCCTGAGCCAAACAACAGAATGCATAGACCTGAGGACAATGATTTTTCCTCGGGGTACACAACCGCCCTTCTTCTGGTCTCCCTGACTCCCCTGACCCTCCTGGTTCGGCTCGGAGCCTTGCTCAAGGGAGATAATTCTATGAATGTTGTACCACCGTTCAGCCCTGATAGTAGGTGTCCAAGACCCCCAGCTAACTTTCCAAGTCTTTTTCTCTGATGGAGCTTTTTCTCAAGGAAGGGTGAGACCTGGAGGAAATCGCCCAGGAAGGAAGAAGGAAGGAGAGTTGAGAGGGAGAAGGGTCAGTGGCATCTCTGGCAGGAAATTCTGCCCTTCTCTCCCTGCCCTCGCCCGCATGACCACTCTGGTCTGTGGCTGGACGGATGACATAAAGTGCCACAGCACTGCAGGAAACTGTACTCTTTATTTAAGTGTGTGGTTCAATAAGACGCTCAGACAGATCCTCTGACATCCACAAATAAAGAGGAAGAAAAAATTTCAACCACCATCTGACTGCTCCGCTGCTCTTGGGTGGGAGGTACCCAAGCTCATGACCAGAGCTCCTGGGGTTTCTGGAAATGGTACCCATTCCCGGAAGGATTATGCCACACCCACTCCCAACAAGCCTGGGGAGTAGGGAAAGCATTTGGAGACCCCTCCCACAATTAACCCCCTCAGACCTGTTCCTACCCTGGGAATCCCGTGGGGAGCAGTCAGGGAGAGGGAAGGGAAAGACATGGGCGTCTGGGGTGGTGAACCTCTGCTCCTCCCCACGAGACCCACCTCTCCCTCCACCTGCCTTTTGAAGTCTTATTTCTCCAGCCACAGGCAGCTCCTCCTACTCTTCCTCAACACCATGCCCAACCCCTACCCTACCTGCGGCAGGGGCCAAGTAGGCAAGACACAGGTGAGCACCCAAAAGAAGACTCAGCCTCTGGCTCTCAGGTGGGCTGGGCAAGCCAGAGAGGTACCTGCCCGGGCTTCCACTCCCAGGTCCTCCTCCTGGGAATCTGCCCCCGCGCCCTTCTACTTGTAAAATGGACAACACCGAGATAACCATCTAGACAAACACTTTTCTGAAGCTTTTTCGGATGGCAGGTTATCAGAGTGGGACAGTCACAATCACGTGTCATTATTCTCCGCCTCCCACCTTCCCCTGGGGGCCAGGAGACAGGATCTGCCACCCCACCCAACCCATAGCCACCTGCTCCTCCAGATGCCCATCCTCTCACCTAAGGACCTATCTCCAGGTATGGGGGAAGGGCAGCTGTGCTGTCCTACGGCCCCTCTCTAGGATGGGTGGCCCGGAAGTGGTTCCTGCAGTAACATTGTCTCAAGAGATCTTGGCAGAGAATGGTGGGCAGTGGGGGGAGTCAGGGTGACAGTGCACATTGCAGACTTTCAAGAAAGTGGGAAAAGGGGACCACTGTCTTCCAAAAGCCCCTCCCTGGCCCCCACGTTCTCCTTGTCTTCTCCTTGGCTGATTCATCATTGAGCAACCAGCAGTCTCCCACCTCCCACCCCCGCCCACCTGAGCCCAGCTTGCTGACTTCTCCAAAAGCCCAAATTGCCCTGACACCATGCCCCTGGATCTCAGCCACTCCAGCCCCGCCCTCCCACCCCCAGGTTCTGGCCCCGCCCCCTCGAGTGTCTGCCGACACCCCCCCACCACCAGTCCCCTTCATTCTGGAACCCTGAACCTCCACCACAGCCTCAACGTGCACCTCTTGCCACCCTGCACACACTTCTGGACTTTTACATTGTTTCCAAGCCGTTGGGATGTGTCCCCAAACTCCTAGTCCCCTGTCTCTGGGATTCTCCAGAGTCTATCCATTCTCAAGCTCAAGTTTGGCATTTTGAGTTCCTTCCATCTGCATCCCATCTACCACTCACTCACTTATTCACGCTCGTGCACGCTCTCGTACTCATGTGTTCATTCAGTCATTCTTTCTCTTTGCAGGAGAGAGGGAGTTGGTGCTGGGACTTTGTGCTGGCTAGGCCCCCTCCCACTGAGCCTTAGTCCCAGCTGCAGGCATTCCCTTCCTGACTCACCCATTCTGTCCCAAGTGCCCTCGGTACACTGGGAAGGCCTGTTGAAGAACTGGGCTGGGAAGGCTTTCAGTATCTGCAGTAAGTATTTCAAAAGAATCTCTCAGCCTCAATCCACAGGTCCATTCTCTGCTGTGTTCTCAGTTGCCTGAGGTTCATGGTTCACACAGGCGACCTGCCTCAGCCCTTCCCACCCTCACAGGGTTCATTCACACCTGCACACACAGAAGCAAGGGGCTCGGCCTTTACGGATCCCCTTTGCTTGGGCACCTCATTTACCTTCTGCCCTCTTGTGCTTTCAGACCACTACACTGTGGACTTCTTTGAAATTTCTTACAGATGAGTGAAGCTGGAGGCATGCGCAGGCACGTGTGCAAACCCAGACACACACGCACACGCACACGCACACGCACACGCACACGCTGCACCTGGCCTCACCACTCAGGGAGCTTCACTACTTGCTGGGGAAGGGCTGCACCCTCCTCACCTCCACCCTGCCCTCACCCCCACCTCGGCTGGGCTAGGCAGGCCAAGGCTCCTATAGTACCAGTGGCTCTGCCAAGCCAAGGCAGTCAAGCCAGGACCTGCCTGGGTCCCAAGGTGGAGAAGCTTCGGGTTCAAGGCTTGGCTTCTTTCCCTCTCCCTTTTCCAGGGAGCTCCCAGGCTTCCCCAGGGCCTCACCCAGGCCCCTCCCAAGGAACAACTCCCAGAGCACAACGGGGCCTGCATCCGGGACCTGCCCATGGTCTTCAGGTAAAGAAGCCACCTCAGCCCCTGCCTCCTTCCCTGGGCTCTGAGGCTCTCTGGACCCTCCTGGGTCCTATTAAGTCTCCCAGGACACAACTCCCAGAGCCCAGAGAGGCCCGTGTCCCACATCTGACCACCCCACCGTCCCCACCAACACACACTTGTCCCTTCTGTTCAGGGAGGGCCGAGCAGCTGTGGGCAAGGCTCCCAGTGTTCTGCCCAGTGTCCCAGCCCCTGGAGAAGAGCCAGGCAGCTGCTGGGCCAGAGAGGGTCTTACCACCCTGCCCACTCCTCTGGAGGCCCCCTGGAGCCCCCAGGCACAGCAGGACTCCTCATTCTCAAACTGGCCTTTGGAAAAAGTTAATAATTAACAAAACCTCTTCCTGCCCTGCCTCTGGAAGTCCCCTGTCCCCAGGCCCCCTTCACTGCCCCTTCTCCTGGCCTCCCAAGCCTGCAGGGTCCCTTGGGCAGCCCCAGACCTCCCAGACCGGATCTGGGGTGCTCACCTGCCTGCTCGATCCACCTCCACTCCTGCAGGGTTCTGGGGCCTGGGCTCTGGCACTGCCAACAGCTCCCCCGTTCAGCCCAGCCAGGACTCCTCCCCGCTGCACTCCCAGAATCTGTCCCACTCCCTCCCGGCCCTGCCTGGCTGAGCTGGCTCGGTGGGGAGGTAGTGGCTGAGCTCCTTCTTAACTTGGCCCTGGGGTTGGGCCCTGGTTAAAGGGATACACACCTTTTTTCACACCCCTCTACTGCCACCCCAGAGGGAGTGGTAGAACCTGGCACTCCCCCAACTCCACCCTCCTAACCCCACAGGGCCTGAGCAGAACCTGACAAAGTGGAGAAAGGAAGGGAAGGACTGTCACCTGCCCTTCTTACCTGGGTCACTGGGAGCCCAGTTTCAGGGGCCCTCAACAGACAAGTTCAGTTAGCATTCCAGTCCAGCCTAGCTGGCCACAAAAGCTTCCTGGATGTTTGGATGTCAGGAACAACACCTGACTTCTGTTGACACTGGGGACCAGAGGTTGGCTGTGGTCTTCCCTCTCCAGGTCAGCGCATCCTCACCTCTGCTGAGACCCATCCCCAAAACCCTTCATGCACAGTAGAGGATTCCTCTGCAAATCCCCCCACACCTTTCCCCCAGGTCCCCAAAGAAATTGGCCAGCTCCACCTCCCTGTGGTGGGGACTCTCTCCCACTCCCAGTGACTTCCACTCACTGGGCACGCATCTGTGTGTTGGGTTGTCTGATAAGTGCTGCGCGTCATCTTCCCGACACTCCTATACGTGAAGTCCTGTGCCTATCCCCTTTTTACAGGTGACAGACACACTCGAAAAGCATGTCCAGAGTTTCACAGATGTAAGTGGCAGATAGGACTTCAACCCAGGCAGGTCAGCCTGTACCTCAGCCCTACATTTTCTTTGCCGTTGGTCAGCGGGGTCCCAAGACACTTGGGTTCATGTCCTTTCCCCCAGTGTGCACACCTGGGCCCTCGTCTCCTGCTGGAGGATCAGCCCCTTGACAAGGCAGAGCCTGTGCCTCAGAGAGGTCTAAGCCAGGTCTCCGGCTTGTTGGGCTTGCTTCCACCCTCACCCAAATCCATGGGGAGAAGGCAACACCCAGTCAGTTCCACTGCAACCGCCCTCGTTCCCGGGTCTGTCCCACTGATGACTCTACCACCTGCCCCCAAGGATCCCTCACCCATGGACCCCAGGGCAAGTGTCCAATCAAGACAACATCTTTCAATTTTTTTTCCATTTTTTTATTAATCAAATGATACCAAACAACCATCATTCTGTAAATGCCCACGCACCCGGCTGCTCCTCTCCCCACAGTCACACCCTCCCAGCCTCTTCCTCAACGCTCTCCCTCCTCCCCTACCCTAGCCCTGGGACAGAGTCTTGGGAGGAGGGTGGGGCAGGGCTGGAGGCTGGAAGGGATAGCCTGGGACAGGCAGCTACAATTTAGTTTGGAGATGGAGAGGGGCAGGTTCTCAGAGATCCTTTTTGGTACCATACCCAGCCGTATCCCCAGCTCCATTCTTCAAATCATTTCCCATGGCCCAGCTTCTCTGCCCTTTCCCCACCATCAAATCACTCGGCTCTTACACCACTGTTACCCCTCCATGTCCTCCCTGGTCCCAACCTGCTCCCTGACTGAGCTTCCCTCCGGCGGGGTCTCTGGGTCCCGTCATCTCCACAGAGCACGGGAAGGAGGTATTCAGAGACCCTGGAGAGGGCTATTATGAACCTGAACTTGGCAGAGATGAGGAAAGGTACAGGCTGGGGAACAGGGTGGGGGTGATGGAGAGAAGTTTTATTTCCAGGCCCACGGTCTTTAAGGTCCCCTTTCCCCCCCCCATATTCCCCCTAAGAGATTCCAGGGAGAAGTCCTCAGCTCCTTGGGACAGGGCTCTCCAGCTTCACACTCTTGGCGGCTTCTCCAATGAGCTCCCAGAAGCTCCCGAACTCCAGTTTAGAGTCGTTACAGTTGCCCAGGTTGGCAATCTTCTCTTCCAGCCCACAGTTGCTCTGAGCAGAGGGAAGAAGCCACAGCTCAGCGAGACAGTGCCTGAGATCTTCCCACCCCGCCCTGCCCAGGGGCAAACAGCAGGGCCTGAGCCTGCCTGGCACTGGCAAGGGGGAATCTAGGGGTTGCCAGTGCCCGTGTGGGTGGGGTCGGGAGGCACTTGCTTGGGAAGTCAGGGGACTGACTAGGGTGGGGTCCATCCCCTCAGTACCGGCATGAGGTGTGGCAGCTGTTGGGTGACCAGGTCCCGCAGCTCAGAGGAGGTCAGTGTCTCCTTCCCGCCCTCCACCGAGTACTGGTGGAAGTTCTTGATGAGGGTCTCAATGGCCCTCTCCACATCACTGAATTCCTGGGCGTCCTGAGGGCAGCAGACATTAAGCGCATCAGGGAGGCTCCTGATCCCCGGGAGCCTGGGTAAAGCCAGCAGGGCAGAAGACAGCTGGAGTGGCCCTGCCCACTCCAGAGCCCAGGACCCAGTCCCTCTCCCTCACCTGCACCCCAGCCCCCAGCAGCTTCTGCCCTTACCCACCGGTTGGGCAAGACTTTCCTCCCCGCCCCCCCATCCCCAGGCAGGACAGGTCCCAGCACGTGTGCAGACATCCTCTTCCCAGGAGGAGTCCATCCGATCACCTTGTGTGGGGTTCAGGGAGGGATCTCAGGCCTCACTGCCGAGGTCTGGGTGTAGGGCCAGGCCAAGGTGAGGGGCAGAAGTCAGTGGGGAACACAGATCCCCGGGGTGGAAAAGAACAGGGAAACAGGCCAAAGAGCGACGGTCCCACCTCAGCATTGGCTGACCGACACTGTCCCATGGTGCCTGGAGCACTTGGTCCCTTGGTGGGTCTTGTCGTCCTATAGCCTGACCCAGCAGAACCGATGGATCATGATCTGCCTGGAGAAAGGGGACCTGAGGTGAGGGACACTTCTGCTTTCTGTCTCAATGACCCCTTTTGGCTCCACCCAAGATCTTCTGCCTCACCCCAGGGGTCAGAGGCAACCCCACACAGACCCAGTCCCTGCCCAGGGCCCAGGAGATAAGGCCACAGTGCCCAAGCCGACCCATTTAGAGGGTCTCACCTCAGTCTCACACCTCCAGCCACCCACTTCTGCTCAAAACGCGTGAGCTCCCGGACCCAGTCCCCAGCTCTCCCTTGGAAGACTCAGGCAAGAGAGGCCCAGGGTGCTCCCTGTACAGGAGAAAAGCCCTGGGTTTCCTTACCTGCTGGCAGCCGCTGAGACTGGACGGGAGGAGCCAGCTCACCTCAGCTGGGCTCTTATACCTGGGGGAAGGGAGGGGAGGCGGGGGGGCTGGGCCTCATAGCCACCCCAGCTCTTGCAGCAGCCTGGGCTGGGAGCCAGCTGTGTGGGCCCCACCCTCCATTGGCCAGAGCTCCAGAGCCAGTCCCCACCCCTGCCACGAGGAGGGAGCCATGGAGGGCTGGGGCTGGGACACCCCTGGCCCCAGATCAGCAGGCAGAGTCACAGGGAGAGAGGGAAGGAAGGTTGGGGAGGAAGGGAAGGGGGACTTAGAGAGCCACGCCAGGGAGGTGGGATGACCTGGGGGAACTGCGAGGAACAGAGGGGGTCTCCATTAGTAGAAAGTAGAAAGGTGTCCATTAGGGAAGAAAGAGAAGCAGGGGCTGATTTGAGGTTTGTAGAACGAAGGTCTGCAGGGGGCCTCCCTGTACTTTTATTTTTCAATATTTATATTTTAGTTGTAGTTGGACACAATAGCCTCATTTCACTCATTTATTTTAATGTGGTGCTGAGGCTGGAACCCAGAGTCCCCACGTGCAAAGTAAGTGAGGTGAGCGCCCTACCTCTGAGCCACAACCCCAGCCCCCTCCCTGTACTTTTGAGATACCTCTCTCTCCGCTCAACTTCCCAACCAAAGCCAATAAGGATAACGACCCTCAAGCCTACCCAGACCCAGAGCCCAGCCATTCCCAATCCTGATGGCTGACACATGAATGGAGAGGTCAGGAGGAAGAATCAAAGAAGATCAGCAGCCTAGGACAGGTGTGATGCACACACCTGTAATCCCAGCAGCTCCGGAGGCTGAGGCAGGAGGATTTTGAATTCAAAGCCCACCTCAGCAGTTTAGCAAGACCCTGAACAACTTTGTGAGACCCTCTCTCTAAATAAAGTGTGAAAAGGGACTGGGGATGCCAGGTGCTGTGGCGCAGGCCTGTAATCCCAGCAGCTCCGGAGGCTGAGACAGGAGAATCCCCACTTCAAAGCCAGCCTCAGCAAAAGCAAGGCGCTAAGCAACTCAATGAGACCCTGTCTCTAAATAAATACAATATAGGGCTTCAGATGTGGTTAAGCACCCCTGGATTCAATCCCCAGCACCAAAAAAAAAAAGAAGAAGAAGAAGAAGGAGGAGGACGAGGAGGACGAGGAGGAGGAGGGGCAGAGCCTAGTAGAGAGCCACAGTGAGCATTGACTGACTTCCTGTCAGCTCCCTCAGCAGCCCAGAGTGCAAATATGCAGGGCCCAGATGGCAGCTCACAACCTCTCCAAACTACTTGGGCTGCAGGTTCGTCCCTCCCTCAGAATCCCACGCCCTCCTAGCCCACCAGCTCCATAGCAACCCATGCCCTCTAACCCAGTACCCAGGATGTCACCCCAGCGAGCCTTCACTGTACTTCTGGGAACTGAGCCCAACCCAAATGTCCCTCCTTACCTCCCCAGGCTCAGGGGCCTGGAACCTAACGTCGTGGGGAGGGAATTCAAGAAAGGGCAGTGGGTTCGGTGTGGATCAAGGCAGAGATGGAGTGGGACTCAGAGCCAAAGTGCCTGGGTCCCTTTCCCAACCTCCTTGTGTCAACTTCTCCTGAACTTTCAGTCTTGATTAGGGCGCTCTGTAACTCGAGGCCCTTCCACAAGGGTGTCCAAAGGACTTGGATTCAGGGACCCCCTTCAAGGGTCTCTCCATCTGAGAGCTTCCCTGAGGAGTCCATGTGAGGTCCCTCATAGAACGTCTTTGCCAATGGCCCCTCCAGCCAGGAAGTCTCTGAGGTCTCCGTCTGGTGCTCCTTAGATGTGACGTCTTCATCAGGGATCCTCTTTTTGGGGTGTATGATCAGGAGCTTGTCTCAGCCTAAATGTTTTTCTGGGCTACTAGCTGCCCCACATGGACACCTGCAGGTACAGCAGTGGCAGCCCTAGGAGGCAGTCCTGCTGACTGGCCCGCCTCTGCTCTCTCTGGTGGCCGGTAAAGCAAACCGCATGCCCCTCAAGCCAATGCAAACAGGGACGGCAGCAGCACTGTCGGAAAGTTCTGCTTCCTTCAGTACCATGGCACCCCATGACCTACCTCACTAGTCCCTCCTCTGCGTCCCCGCTGCTGTGGAGGGAGGCTGGGATCTGAGGTCTAGTGTTCCCGGTGCCTATCCACGGAGGACTCTGGTAAACCAGGGGCTCTGGAATGTCAACCCAGTTCTGCTTGTCCTTGTCTTTGTGATTTAACCTCTCTAAAAATCCATCACCTTTTTTTGGGTACTGGGACCCTTTACTACTGAGGTAGAGTCCCAGAGAGAGAGAGAGAATTTTTAATATTTATTTATTTGTTAGTTTTCAGTGGACACATCTTTATTTTATTTGTATGTGGTGCTGAGGATCGAACCCAGCGCCCCGCGCATGCCAGACGAGCGTGCTACTGCTTGAGCCACATCCCCAGCCTCCTTTTTTTCTTTTTGTTTTTTTGTGGTTTTTTTGGAGACAGGATCTCACTAAGTTGCTGAGGCTGGCCTCCAACTTGGGATCCTCCTGCCTCAGTCTCTCGAGTCTCTGGACCCAAGCTCATATCCTCATCTTGAATATAAGACTTAAAAATACTACCTACCACGTGGGGTGTAGTAGTACACACTTAAAGTCCCAGCTATTCAGAAGGCTGAAGTAGAAAGATCACAGGTTTGAAGCCAGCCTAGGCAACTTAGTGAGACCATGTCTCTCTCAATCCCTAATACTGCGAAAGGAAGGAAGGGAGGGAGGGAGGGAGGGAGGGAGGAAGGAAGGAAGGAAGGAAGGAAGGAGGGAAGGAAGGAAGGAAGGAAGGAAGGAAGTTAGTTGTGAAAATTAGCTGGACATGGTGACTCCCTCCTGTGATCCCAGCAGCTCGGGAGGCTGAGGCAGGAGGATGGTGAGTTCAAAGCCAGCCTCAGCACCTTAGTGATGCCCTAAGCAACTCAGTGAGACCCTGTCTCTAAATAAAAATACAAAAAAGGGCTGGGATGTGGCTCAGTGGTTGAGTGCCCCTGGGTTCACTCCCCAGTACCAAAAAAAAAAGTTGTGAAAATTAACTAAAATACTATAGGTAACATGTTCAGCCTATGCCTGACATATCGTAAGCCAGTGACACCTGCTCGCTGCTGTCATTATCATCCTGGGACAAACTCTAGGGATAGGATAGGGAAAACTGGGGTTATAACTATGCAACTGAGCCCCAGGAGACACCTGGTAGGATAGAAACCAGATCTCTGCATCTTTCACATATTTATTCATCAACCACTTATCTACTTACCTATTTTTTTTACTTCTTAGGTTTTTATTTTTATTTTGGACTGGGGATTGAATTCATATGTGCTGTACCCCTGAGCTACATCCCCAGTCCCTCTTATTTTCTCTTTTGAGACAGGGCCTCACCAGGCTGGCCTTGAACCTGCAATCCTCCTGCCTTAGCCTCCCAAATCCAAGTGCACCACAATGCCCAATCTAGCCATTTATTCACTGAGCCCCTAATCAGTACAAGACCTCATGTTAGACGCTGTGGAATATCTGAAGATGAATTCACAGTCCCTTTATTCAAGGAGCTCATAATTTTCAGACTTGCTCAGGGCAGTTTTCCCACCCCACTTACCTCAAGAGAGGAAATCAGTACAGGATGTGAATAAGAAACGTGTGCCAGGGGCTGGGGCTGGGGCTCAGTGGCAGAGCTTGCCTAGCATGTGTGAGGCACTGGGTTCGAACCTCAGCACCACATATAAATAAATAAAAAATAAAGGTCCATCAACAACTAGAAAATATTTTGAAAAAAGAAAGAAACCTGTGTGTTTCGAGGGAGAAGGTTTATTTGGGGAGTGAGGGGTTCTCCTGGCCCTGCCAGGCCTACTCTCCCCACCGCCATCCCGGCCAGCAGCTCTACTTCTTCCGGATCTCCTGCGCCTTCTCCTTCCTGATTTCCTTGGCCAACTCCCCAATCAGTCTCCAGTACTCATTGAACTTGAGCTCCGAGTCCTGATTCACATCCAAGCTCTTCATCTTCTCATCTAGGGAGCCCACATCCTAAAAGGGAAGGGCAGGTTAGATGGGGGGGATCTTGAGACAGGAAGAGGGGAGACTTTCTAGCTTACCGTCCTCTGACAGCCCTCCCCTCAGAGAGCACCAACCCCGCCCCGTACCTCAAGGAAAAGGCTGCAGGCCTGGACTGGGCTGCCCTGGGGTCCCAACTTCAAGGACACCAGCAGAGGTGGAAGGGCCTGCTCTGAGTGTTTGCTCTGACATAAATACTCCCATCACGGCACAGCATACACTACAAATACGATGGCACTGAACACAGAGCTGGAGAGAGACGCACACAATCTGCTCTCACCGGCAGGCAGAGCTGGCGCTAGCACACCACTGCACCAGTCCGGATGGACCCAATAATACTCAGGGAGCCTTTGTATGGGCAGATCCAACCTGACTCCCCGGAGGCCTTCTCAGCCACCCTCCTCCCTCACAGTAGTAGCTGCTCATTTGCATCTCCCTTCTGTGTTCTCCTGTATCCAGCTGGGCCAGTACCCGGTAGATCGGGGAATGGCGAAGACACAGGCACCTTGTTTTCGAGGGGCCCTTGATAAAGTCTCTCAGGACGGGCCTGTGGAACCCAGGGATACTGTAAGCCGGACTTTCGTGATAAAAGGATTTGTTACCAGACAATCACAATGGAAAACTTGATTGTAGGGCTGGGGACATAGCTCAGTGGTAGAGGGCCTGCCTCAAATGCACAAGGCCCTCCTGGGTTCAATCTCAGCACCACAAAAAAAAAAAAAGAAAAAGAAAGAAAGAAAACTTGATTGTTGAGTAAAGGGTCAACATTAAACCAAAGAAGGTGCCTCTGTTGACCTTGATTCTTAACATTTAAATCAACATTTGAACGAAGGCAGAGAAGATCTGCCAAATCTCTTAAGCAAATTTATAGGAGAGCTACTCAAGTCCTCCCCCTCCCCCTCCCATTTTTGTGGTACTGGGAATTGAAGCCACAGGTGCTCTACCACTGAGCTGTGTCTCAGCCCTTTTTATTTTTTTAATCTTTATTTTTATTTTATTTTATTTTTGGAACCAGGGGCACTTAACGACTGATCCACAACACTTTTTTAACTGTTTTTGGTACCAGGGATTGAACTCAACCACTGAGCCACATCCCTAGCCCAATTGTGTATTTTATTTAGAGACAGGGTCTCACTGAGTTGCTTTGCTGAGGCTGGCTGTGAACTTACCATCCTTCTGTCTCAGCATCCTGAGCCACTGGGATTACAGGCGTGTGCCACCACACCCAGTCTATCATTTCTTTAATGGGAAAATATCCTATATGTACTGTTACATTTTTTTTAAAAAGCTATTTGTAGAACAATATATAAAAGATGTATTTATTCAAGTAGGATGCAGTGGCGCACACCTATAATCCCAGCAGCTCAGGAGGCTGAGATAGGAGGATCGAAAGTTCAAAGCCAGCCTCAGCAACAGTGAGGCGCTAAGCGACTCAGTGAGACCCTGTCTCTAAATAAAATACAAAGTAGGGCCAGGGACAGGGCTCAGTGGCTGAGTGGCTCTGAGTTCAACCCCTAGTACCAAAAAAAAAAAAATGTATTCATTCACTCACTGGAAATTTTTTTCATTTTTAATTTTTTTTTCAATTATATTCACCCATTCTTGTGGACTGAATTTTAGTGGTTTTTTTTTTTGTTTTGTTTTGTTTTGTTTTTTGTACTGGGAAGGGAGCCCAGTCATTCTTTATCAGTGAGCATCCCCAGCCCCTGCTTTTGGGGAGGGTGCTGGGGATTGAACCCAGGACCTCATGCATACTAGGCAAGCACTCTACTGCTGAGCTATACCCGCAGCCCCCTAGTCCTTTTTTGGTTGGGTTTTTGTTTGTTTGTTTCTTATTTTTTTTATTTTTTAGAACTGGAGATCAAACCCAGGCCTTTGCACATACGAGAGAAGTACTTTGCCACTGAGCTACATCCCAGTCCCTCATGGACTGAATTTTGTGTCCTTGCAAAACCCATGTTGAGATCTCTCTGTCAGTCAGCTTTTCATTGTGTGTTTACCTGACTCAAACGACTTGGGGTGGGGACCAGTTATTTGGGCTCCTGGTTTCAGAGCTTTCAGTCCATAGTCAGCTGGTGCCACTGCTTCAGGCCACAGGTCAAGTGCAACGTCGTGGCGCAAGGCCCAGAGGTATTAAAGCTGTCAGCTCACGGCAGCCAGAAAGTGGGGTGGGAGGCAAGAGAGAGATGCACCCTCCCGGGCCCGCCCCAGGGACCTACTTCCTCCAACCAGGTCCCACCTCCCAGGAGTCCATCCTGTCTTCAATAGGTTAACTGAATGACGGGTCAGAGCCTTCATGATCCAGTCACTTCCCAAAAGCCCCCACCGTGAATACATGAGACTTTGGGGGGGCATTTCCAATCCAATCCATAACAAAATCCCAAACCCCAATGTGACGGTATTAGGTGTAGCCTTGGGTCATGAAGGTGGATCCCTCATGATTTAGATTAGTGCCCTTGCTTAAAGAGACCCCAGAGTGGGCACGGTGGTACAGGCCCCTAATCCCAGTGACTCCAGAGCCTAAGGCAGGAGGATCGCTAGTTACAGGTCAGCCTCAGCAATTGAGCAAGACCCTGTCTCAAAAATGAAAAGGACTGGGGATGTAGCTCAGTGGTTATGTGCCCCTGTGCTAAATCCCCAGTACCAAAAAATAAAAACAACAACAAGACCCCAGAGAGCTCTTTAGCTTTTTGCCCAGGTAAGGGCAAAACTGGAAGATGTCAACCCTTAAGAAGCCCTCGCCTGAACCCAACTACTCTGGCGCCCTGATTTGGGCTTCCAGCCTCCACAACTAGGAGAAATGAATTTTGTTGTTTGTCAACCACTCAGATTATAGTACTCTGTTAGAGTAGCTAAAACTCACTAAGACTGTCAGTTAATATTTTTATACCTTTATTTTATTTACTTATTCTTATGTTATGCTGAGGATCAAACCCAGTGCCTCACATGTGCCAGGCAACTGCTCTACCATTGAGCTACAGCCCCAGCCCCGTCACTTAATATTTTATTGAGCACCCAATAGAGAAGTCAGATACTGTTTAACTGCTGAGATTAAATGGTAAGCAAATACCTTTCCTTCTTGAGCCTTTCACACTTAAAAACATGTAAGTGTATAGTGGAGGTCAGATTGGTTGTGTTCTGCAGGGTAAAGGAGGTGACTTTTGTGTTCAGTGGTGAAGGGAGACTGTGCTGAGGATTTGCCAGCTAAGCAGGAACCTGAATTAAATGAGGAATAAGCCTAGCAAGTACCTGGGAGACGAGCACTGTGAACAGGAGAGGAAAAGTGGAGACGGTAAGTATGAGTCATTCTCATTGCTTTTGAGGAGTTCTGTGATAGAGTACAGAAGAAATATATAGCATAACTAAAAGCAGCTACAAGGTCAAGGGAGGTGTTCTTTATTATTATAATTTTCTTTCTTTTCCCAAGATGGAAGACATTACAGCATATCTGTAAAGAGACTGTGGCGGTACATATCTGTAATCCCAGGTACTCGGGAGGCTAACACAGGGCATCACAAGTTGGAGGCCAGCCTGGGCAACTTAGTGAGACTCTACTGCAAAACAAATGTTAAAAAGGGATGACGGGGCTGGGGTTGTGGCTCAGCGGTGGAGCACTCGCCTACTGTGGGCGAGGCCCTAGGTTCGATCCTCAGCACCACATAGAAATAAATAAATTAATTAAAGATATGGTATCCAACTACAACTAAAAAATAAATATTTAAAAAATAAAAAGGGCTGGGAAGGGCTGGGGCTGAGGCTCAGTGGTAGAGGGCTTGCCTAGCACGTGTGAGGCACTGGGTTTGATCCTCAGTACCACATAAAAATAAATACATAAAATAAAGGTATTATGTCCAACTACAACCAAAAACAAAAAAAATTTTGTTGTTTTTAAAGAGGGGCTGGGAAGCCAGGCGTGGTGGTGCAGGCCTGTAATCCCAGCACTCAGGAGGCTGAGGCAGGAGGACTGCAAGTTCAAAGTCAGCCTCAGCAATTTATTGAGGCCCTAAGCAATTTAGCCAGACTTTGTCTCAAAATAAAAAAATTAAAAGGGGCTGGGGGATGTGACCCAGTGGTTGAGTGCCCCTGGGTTCAATCCCTAGTACAAAAAAAAAAAAAAAAAAATTAAACAAGCAACAAAACCCCTGATACAAAAGACCTAGTAAAGAAGGAAATTTTAATGATGCAAGAAAGAGAAGAGATCACTGCAAGAATTGCAAAAGGAAAGTCTTTAAAGTAGGTGAGAGGGAATAGGATCCAGAGCACCAGTTAAGAGCTAAAACTGATCATTTATGTGACCAGGAAGGAAGCAGACTGTGTGCTGATCGAGCAGTAGATTTGGGGATGAGGGTAGCACATAGAAGTTTCCTGATGACTTATTTTCTTAGTGAGGGAATTTCTCAGTGAGAGGGAGAATGTGGAAAGAGGCACTGGAGTTTGAGAAGGAAGGGAAAGTTATGAAACCATCATCTGAAAGAGCTGATACACAATCATTCAGGGAAACACAGCAGAGTCGCCAGCATTGCTGAGGGTCCCTCAGAGTCTGTGGTTACTGATTTAAAGTAAGACAAGTCAACGAGGCCGTGCATTTTCCTCCAGCCAGATTCAGCTATCCAAGTGTAGGCAGGGATGGTGATTTAACCAGCAAGTTAATGTAGGGGAAATGTTGGATTTCATCAGGGTTGGGATTCTGCCAGACAACTGGGACAGAGAGAGAATCAAATGGATTGAGGGTATGATCCTAATAACGTCTTGAACATGAGCTAAGGAAGACGAGAAATGAAGAGATGAGAGATGATAGAAAATGAAAAAGTGGAAGGTCAAGAGACTGAAGGTCCTGCCGGTCATGGTGGCACAAGCTTGTAAGCTCAGGAGGCTGAGACAGGAGGATCAAGGGCTCAAAGCCAGCCTCCACCACTTAGCAAGGCCCTAAGCAACTCAGTGAGAGACTCTGTCTCTAAATAAAATATTAAAAAAAAAAAAAAGCTGGGAATGTGGCTCCGTGGTTAAGTGTCCCTGGGTTCAGTCCCAGGTACCAATCATCATCATCATCATCATCATCATCATCATCATCATCACAACAACAACAGATGCAGTGCTGAGAAGAATAACAGTGAGCCGAAGCTGAAAAGATATAAGTAGTACAGTAAGGAGGGCAGAAGGCAGGCACGGTGTGCAGATCTGTAATCCCAGCTATTCAGAAGGCTGAGGCAGGAGGATCACAAGTTCAAGGCCAGCCTGGGCAATTTAGTAACATCCTGTCTCAAAGTAAAAAATAAAGGGCTGGGGATGTGGCTCAAGCGGTAGCGCGTTCCCCTGGCATGCGTGCGGCCCGGGTTCAATCCTCAACACCACATACAAACAAAGATGTTATGTCCGCCAAAAACTAAAAAATAAATATTAAAAAAAAAAAAAGTAAAAAATAAAAAGGGTCACTGGAGCCGGGTGCGGTGGCACACGCCTATAATCCCAGCAGCTCAGGAGGCTGAGACAGGAGGATCGTGAGTTCAAAACCATCTTCAGCAATGGCGAGGCGCTAAGCAACTCAGTGAGACCCTGTCTCTAAATAAAATACAGAACAGGGCTGGAGACGTGGCCCAGTAACTGAGTGCCCCTGAGTTCAATCCCTGGCACCCCCTCCCAAAGAAAAGGGCCCCTGGGCTCAATCCTCATTACCATGAGAAGAAACAAAGAAGGAAGAGGGAGGCAGCTCAGCTTCCAAGGAGCTGGGGGTCTACAGAAGAAGGAACTAAGGTCCAGAAAAACAGATGAAAAGCAAAGAGGCCACTTCCTGCTTTCCCAGGCCCAGAGGACGTCAGAGGGAAAATCAGTTACTGCTCAACCACACTCTGGGAATGCTACACCTTCATCAGAGAATCTGACATTTCCAATAAAAAGGCGAAAGGAAAAGTCTGAGAAGTGAGAGGATACAGGGGATTTTGCAGATGAGAGACTTAAGTTTCAGAGGATGGCTTTGTTTTTTAAAAATCCATACTCATACACTGCTAAGTACCTGTGAATTTTCAGAAAGGAGGAAAAAGAAACTGTTAGCCTGGAATGACGGGCAAACCCAGAGTGGATGAAATTTAAATCCCAACTCATTCCTTCCAGTAGACGAGAAGAATGGCCCTGTCAGGCGCTCTATTGAGGGGATCCCAGAGATGGTGGGAAATAGTCACAAATGTTCCTTATGGACCTCCTATACTGAGAGTCTAGGACTCCATGGATTTGGCTGTTTTCTTTATTTTCTTATGTGCGTGTGTGTGTGTGTGTGTGTGTGTGTGTGTGTGTGTGTGAGAGACAGAGAGAGAGAGAGAGAGAGAGAGAGAGAAAGTTAATTACTGGGGGTTAAATCCAGGGTACTCTACCATGGAGCTACACCCCCAGCCATTTTTTAAATTTTATTTTGAGACAGGATCTCACTAAGTTGCTGAGGCTGCCCTCAAACTTGAGATCCTCCTGATTCAGCCTCCCAAGTTGCTGAGATGACAGGCATGTGCCACCATGCCCAATTTTGTTTTTGCTTTTAATAATACCATTCCCACTGCTGGGCCTCAGTTTCCATATATGTGAAGTGAAGAGTCTGAACCATGTTTTTATGTTTTCTCTTGGCCTCCTTCAAGCTCTGAGGGTCTGTGAATGTCCTGGAAGCCATCTCTGGGGCCAGTCCTATACTGGGGAAATGAGACCAGAGAGGCCCACACAGACACAAGAACCCAACAGCATCTTTTAATGAGAGTACAGAACCCAGTTGCACAAACACAGTATCTTTGCTTACCTAGTCTGTCTGTCTCTCTCGCTCTCTCTCTCTCTCTCTCTCTCTCACACACACACACACAGAGGACAGAAAACCCAGAACCATGTACACATGCAGTCACTTACATCCTTTTATTTTATTTTGTTTGTTTGTTTGTTTGTTTTTGAGGTCCTGGGGATTGATCCCGTGACCACTGACCTACACCCTCAACTCTTGTTATTTTTTGAGACAAAGTCTCACTGAGTTGCCTGGGTTGGCCTCCAGTTGGAATCCGCCCCCTCACTGAGACCTGGTGTGCACCCCCCTGCCTGGCCTCCCACCCCTCCTGTGGCTCACTGTCTACTCAGCAGTCTCCCCTCACACACTCAGGGTCCCACCAACGCTGCCTCACAGAATCCCAGCCCAGAGACCTCCACCCACCTTGAGCAGGTGAGGCAACTGCTGCGTGGCTAGTTCCTTAAACTCATTGACGCTGAGGCTGCCCTTCCGGCCTTCCCGCCCTGCAAAGGTGAAGAAAGTGGTGACCACTGTCTCGATGGCCGCCTCCAGCTCAGTCAGTGGCTCGGCCGCCATGAGGCCCCTGGGGTTGGAGCTGATGTGCTCACACAGCTGACCTGCAGGACGTGGGGGAGCAGAGGGGGAGGAGTTAGGCAGTCTGGGATCCAAGGATGGCCAGTGTCCCTGCTCTGGTGCCCCCGGGAGTGTCATTATAAGAAAGAGGGAGGGTTCAGAGGTTGAGCTTGGGGTAGGGGACCAGGCAACAGTATCTCAATTTAAGTTTAGTCCCAGAAAACTTTCTTCTGAGGGTCACGATCTGAGGGTCCTTTATTTTGGGGTGGGGCACGGGGGAGGGAACCCAGTGGTGCTCTATTACTGAGCTACATTCCCCAGCCCTATGTTATTATTATTATTATTTTTTTTTTTTTTTTATTTTGAGGCAGGGCAGGGTCTCAGTAAATTGTCCAGGCTGGCCTCTAACTTGTCTTCTTGTTAGGCCCCCCTGAAGCTGGGTTTGCAGTTGTGGGCTACCACACCTGGTTTCTGAAGGTCCTTTTTAAGAAGCCGTCTATGTGGGTTCAGGTGCCAGTAATCCCAGCAGCTGGGGAGACTGAGGCAGGAGGATGATGGCAAGCCTGCCTCAGCAATTTATCGAGGCTGTCAGCAACCTAGCGAGACACTGGCTCGAAATTAAAAAGGTCTGGGGGTACGGCTCAGTGGTGAAGCCCCCTGGGTTTCATCCCAAGTACAAAAAAAAAAAGAGAGAGATAAGAGAGACCCTCTGGTGATCCATCAAGTATGGTGATCCCTCTATCGGGGAGAGATTTTTCAGTTTGCAGTTCCTTCTTCAAAGTCCTCGGAGTCTGGTGGCCCTCTGATGGGGTTTCTCTTATGGCCCTATCTTGTCTCTCCCAGTGTTAAAGGGTCAGGAGGTTGTTTGTCTCCAGTTTGTTTACAGTGGGACCTGCAGTCCGCCCACACGCTGGTCACTCCTTCCAGCAGAGAAGCTTAGGGTTGGCACAAGCCCAGCTGTGGTCAGGGCTGGCTCAGTCTGGACAGATCCCCTCCCCTCCCTCTCCTTGGGGGCAGCTGGACCGAGTGCTGGGACAAGAACCCCTCATGCCCTTCCAACCCTGTCTCCAGATGACAGGGTCCTGGCGCGGAGGTCCTCTGATTCTCCGAGCCCACAGGGGCACCGTCCGGGCACTCAAGTCCCCTGGGGGCACGACAGAAAGCTGGAGGAAAGGGACAAGCCCACGCATCCCTCTCCTTTCCGTCCACCCCCACACACGCACACGCACAGGCTCCTGCGGGGACTGCTGCTTGCTCTCCCCAAGCCACTTCCTGAATCCCTGTCCCAGCGGCTGGGGGTGGGGGGACCGGGAGCCAATGGAGAAAAACGGATCCCCAGACAGCCCCTGGGTGGGGACGGGGTGCGACTCACCAGGGTAGGAGATGGGGTGCTGCCGCGGAGACGCGAGGCCGAGGTTTATAAGGCCTGCGGGGAGGAGGGCGCCACGCCCAGCCCGAGGTGTCCAGTTTCCTAGCTGACTCTCCAGAGGGGGGACCGCCCAGTCACGCCTCCCGCGCTGGCCTTGGGGCTGGGAAGCCTGGCCGCCCGACCACTCCCGCAGGTTCCCCAGCTTGGGGGTGGGGGGCGTCCTGGACAGATCCCATTAAGCAGGGGTCCCAGAGTCCATCACTTCCTTTATGGGGGGCTGCTGCCCTACCACACCCCCAACAGCTAACCGGGAGGGGGGCAGGGATGACAACCACTAATTGAAAATCCAACTGGAGCTCAGCACTGAGAGGCCAATCTACAAAACCCCAGAGACCCTGCAAGGGTCACTGCAGCCCACACTCCTTCCAAGAACTGCAAGCTCCGGCACCACGATGGGGGACCCAGGCCACAACGGCATAGCAGAATCCCAGATTGAGAGATCTCAGCGGTCCCAAGACTAAGTCACTCACTGAGCGAGACCCCTTGGCCAGCCCCAGGCTAAGACTCCCTCTGCAAACCCTCCCCTTCCCTGTCAGTGTCACAGCCAGCTCCAGGGGCTGTGCAGTGGAGCTGGGGGTGAGACTCTGTGTCCCCCCAGGACCCACCTCCCCCTCCCTTCTCCCTGCACTTCCCCGCTGGTACCCAGCAGGGGGTGGGAGGGCAGGCAACCAAGGCCAGGGAGGAGACACAGGGTAGCCTGTTCCAGCCCAGGAGACAGAGGGCGCCTCTGTCCTCTCCTGGCCCCTTGCCCCACTGGGTGTCTGTGAAGGGGTGGAGCCGCTGGGGGGGCAGCGGGGGAAGGACTGCTAAAGACAGGTCTCTCACACAGCCCGGGAGCCACACTTGCAGCCTCGGCCATTTGTGCAGAACCCGCTCCCATCTCAGGCCCAGGCCAACTGTGAGTATCCTGCCCAACCTGGCCTAGGTCCTTGGCCTGGCCAGCTTGGGGGAAAGGGGACTTCAGAGGGGGTCCCAAGAGCGGGGGAGGGGTGACGATGGCATTCTGCATCGTGGTGCACTTAGGGCCTGGGAGGAATTAGGGTAGGGGCAACTCAGAATCTGGGGGAGACGGTTTGGAAGGTGGTAAGGGGGGGAGTGAGTAAGGGTCAGAGTTAGAGCTGGGAGCTCAGTGAATGGGAGCCCATCACCCAGCTTCCAGGCCACCAGCCCCTCCCACACAGAGCCCACGAGTCCCCTGCCAAGTCTCCTCAGTCTCTCATTGTTGGGGAAGGGACACAGCCTTGCCTTGCCTCCCATGGAGTAACAAGAACAGAAGAGAACAGCTGTTCCTACCCACTTCCAGACTCAGTCTCTGCCACCCCTGCTAGCCTTGCCAAGAGCCGGGCCCAGGGAGGTCTGGGGGCAGCAGAGCAAGGGCCGCATGATTATCAGGAAGAGAGGACTCTTGGTTCTGAGCCCTCTCCCAACTCTTCCTTCACAAGACGTCCCCTTTGTCTTCCTCTTTTCTCAGCCCAGACCCCCCTCCTCTTTCCCCAATTCCTCCCTCTGTAGTTTTCCTATTTCCCCAACCCAGGTCCTCCCAGAACTGCCCCCACATAAAATCCCAGGCTGCTGGAGAGCTAGCGGCAACCTCCAGCTGTCCCTCCTGATAGGGCTGGTAACTGAGCCACCAGCATCCCTCCCTCGAGCACCCCTTATCCTCTCTATCAGCCCCGTCTTGGGTTCCGTCACCCCCACGTCTCTGTGACAATTGCTTCTCATGTCCGGAGTTCAGGTGACACTCACAAGGGCCTTATTGAAGAGCTGGGATGTCATCTGATCAGAGCCCATTGTCCACTCCCCCAGTCCTGGGGAAGGATGGGGATACCTGATCCCAGACACCTGAGCTGCCCCTTGGGGCTGCGGAGGGCCTGACTGTCCCAGGGCCAAAGGACAGAGGCTCCCCAGCTTGGCAGTCTCCTCTCCTCAACAGACCCCTCCATTCTTCTCCTGTTCTCGCCCAGCCCCTTGAACTCAAAAGACTTCATGCACTCAGTTTTTATCTCCCCAACACATACCAGCCCCATTCCCTGTTCCCACTGTACCCACATCAACCAGGCAACCAGGGACCAAGGTCTACAGATTCCCTCCCCCTCTCCAGGGCTCAGACATTCTTTTCTCCCTTCCTGCCACCCACCTGATGGAGGCCATAATTTTGCAGAGAGGAATTAAACTGAAGGCACTGGGAGGCACACCCCAGAGAGGTCAAAATGACAAGTTGAAGAGAGGAGGGCTTGAAGGACCAAAAAAGACCTCTACAAATTGCTGGCAGGAAAATCAGAAACAGACTCCGTTCCCCCCAAAAGCTCTGGGCCACCCACTCAGGCTACCACCCTCTGTCAGGCTCACCAAGGGAGCCAGACTCAGTCCTTGCTGCAGTGGGCCCCAGAGTCAAGGCTACAGGGACGCCAGCCCACCACCCCACGGCAGAACTGGCAGAACTTGGTCGTGCTAGGCCTACAAGGTCCAGGGTAAAAATAGAGCCGGCAGAAGCCATCCTATCCTGTGACCACCCCAGCCCGCCCCACCCTCGTCTCTGCCCAGGCAGTCAGGAGCCACTGCGGACGCCCACGGCAGGCCTCCGGAGCCAGCCCAGTTCCGGCTGCTTGCTCTCCATGCCCAACCCTGACTCCCTTTGGCTAGGGTTCAGACTGAGGGACACAGAGGTCTGCAGTTAGTTGTGCTGGGCCTTCCCCCACGCTGTGAAATCTCAACGAAAGATAAGCTGCAGTAGGACTCCCACCTCAGGGTTATTTGGCTGTGGAACCAGGTCCAGGCCCGAGGAGGCCCCGGGCCTGGTCCCCAGCTCACCCGGGTGCTGTGTGGACGGAATAGGCGCACTGCTGCGATGGGCTCTGAGCTGGAGTCTGCCATGGAGACCCTCATCAACGTGTTCCACGCCCACTCAGGCAAGGAGGGGGACAAGTACAAGCTGAGCAAGAAGGAACTGAAGGAGCTGCTGCAGACCGAGCTGTCTGGCTTCCTGGATGTGAGCATGGAGTGCCAGGAGAGGGCGGGTGGGCAAGAGGTGGGGCACTGGGGGCGCCTCCCTGCCATTCCTCCCCGCCCCCGCAGCTCAGTCCAGCCACCCCCTCCTCTCTCATGGGGGTCTTCCAGGCTCCCCTGTGTCAAATCCAAATGCCCTGGTTTACTGCCTACCTGTGAAGCACTAGGTCTTGTGCAGTTTCCTCAATGAGGTTCACCGTCTAGAAGGGAAACCCCGAACTCCAGGAAGTACACAGAGCCTTAACAAAGGTGCCAGAAAGGGTTAGTGGGAGATTAGTGGCCAGACTGAAGTAAGACGGTTCCTTGAAGAGTGGCAGTTGAGCCAGGGGCTTCCACTGGAAGATGACTGGGGTCAATGAAGACATTTTAGGGGGTGTCTGCATGAACACAAGCATAGAAGACAATGTGGAGCACGCCCAGCAGTTCCATTTGACTGGAGAGTGTGGAGAAGCAGGCTGCAAACGTTAACAGGGGGCACACAGTGAAGAAGCCACTCAGATATGGCAGACCGGGCAGCTCTGCATTCAAATTTTGGTCCTACTACTTCCTTTTTCTTCCCCCGCGTCAGTATTGGGCATTGAACCCAACGGTGCTTTATCACTGAGTTAACGCTCCCAGCCCTTTTTATTTTTTAGGACAGGGTCTCACTAAGCTGCTGAGGCTGGCCTCAAACTTGTGATCCTCGTGCCTCAGCCTCCTGAGTCACTGGGATTATGGGCATGTGTCACTAAGACCAGCCCTGCCACCTTTTTCTTTTTCTTTTTGGTACTGAGGATTGAACTCAGGAGCATTCAATCACTGAGCCACATCCCCAGCCCGTTTTACTTTTTTTTTTTTAAAGAGAGAGAGAGAATTTTAATATTTATTTTTCAGTTATCGGCGGACACAACATCTTTGTTTGTATGTGGTGCTGAGGATCGAACCCGGGCCGCACGCATGCCAGGCGAGCACGCTACCGCTTGAGCCACATCCCCAGCCCCCCTTTTTACTTTTTGAGACAGGGTCTCACTAAGTTGTATAGGGGCCTTGTTAAATTGCTGAGGCTGGCCTCAAACTTGGGATCCTCAGTCTCCTGAGCTGCTGGGATGACAGGTGTGCATCACCACACCTAATGTCAGCCCTGCCGCTTTTTGTGTGACTTTGGGCACATTTATTTAACAAAAATCATCCATGTTTCTTCTTCAGAATGGAATTAATAAAAAGAACCCCATACTGCTTATATTAGAATTAAACTAGACAGTGCCTGGAAGGCTCCTAGTGTAGTGCTTGTCACACTGTAGACAATTAGCTTATGGTGATTGACGTTATCATTAACTCTTCCAGTTAAGGCGTTTCTTCTGAAGGCAACAGGAGCCCATGAGCCTTCTTGGGTGGAAAGCAGAAGGTCCCATGATTAGAGGCTGTCTGACCTCTTGCTCACGTCTGCCTTGCTCTCCTCGACCACCTCCTGCCCCGACTCAGTGATGCACACCTCCTCTCCCTCTTCTTCCTCCACAGGCCCAGAAGGATGCAGATGCTGTGGACAAGGTGATGAAGGAGCTCGATGAGAATGGAGACGGGGAGGTGGACTTCCAGGAGTATGTGGTGCTGGTGGCTGCTCTCACAGTGGCCTGTAACAACTTCTTCTGGGAGAACAGTTGAGCAGACAGCCCAGTGGGCAGCGCCCTTCCCCTCCCCCTGCCGGGCCCGCCCCTTCACCTGCTTTCACCTCACCCCACTTATCCCTGTCCACATTCTCACCATTGCCCACCTCCCTCAATACACACCAAGGGCGCAAGAGTAGCAGTCCAGGCCTGCAACTAATCTTTCATTAAAGGCTCCGCTCTCAGCAGCCATCAATGTCTGTCTCCTCTGGGGTCTGGAAGTGGGTGGAGAAATGAGAGTTGATTACTCCCAACTCCCCCGATTTTTGGAAAGAGTTCCCTGTGCACATCATCTTCCTACCTGAAGAACGCTCAAGACTTACAAATGTAGGGGTCCAAGGTTCCAGCTGGAAGAGACATCAGCTTCTCAACTACAAAACCAGAAGGAAAAAAGCTCCTTTCAACCTTCAACCAACCTTTACTGAGGTCCTACCACGTGCTAAACATTGTGTGGGAACTGGGGACACACCAGTGAGCAAAATAAAACTCTCCTTACCTCATCAGAATAAAGTCTAGCAAGGGTGCAGGACCATTAAACACACCCACACAAACTAAGTGCCAGGAAAAACAAAGGGTCCCAAAGTTACATGGGGCAGAAGAAAGTGCTGAAGATGTTCATTCATTCATCCCTGAAACATTTAAGCACTTTGTGTATTGAGCCTTAAGAAAAATCCCTTTACAGGTCTGCATCAAAATCCATACGGAGGGCTGGGGACATTGCTCTGGGGCCGTGTGCTTCCCTGGCATGCGGAAGACTCTGGGTTACATTTTAAAATTCCACATGGATGGTAGTTTGGGAGAAAGACATGGAAGGTTTACCCCAAAAGAAGGATCAGACCATATTCAGGCCAAGTTGGGAAGGGGAAGGAGTGGAGCTGAAAACAGGGAGGGCTACGGGCGCTGGTTAGCTAGAGGAGGGCTCCCAGCACTAGCCTCCCGGGCCCTGGCTCAGGTCCATGCCACTCACAATCGGTGAGCTGTGAACTGGGAACAGGATGAGACAGGAGCCGAAGCCAGTGAGCTGGGCTCGACGGTCCGGAAGAGACCCAGGCGAGCCCCACACACAGGCCTTTAGACACGCTTTCTTAGGGGCAAGAGAAGGGCTTCAGGGAATATGCGCGCTTTTCACCTGGACCAGAACCCACCACCCCTCCAAGTACAGTGCAGCCCAGCCGGAAAGCGAAGCTCCCACCTGCCCCGCCCACTAGACCACACCCCCTATGGGCGGAGCACCATAGCCCCTCCTCCACCGCAGCGCTCCTCCGACTCCCGCGCAGGCGTAGTGCATCAGCCCCGCCCCTAGCTGCGTGCGCATCTAAACGCCTGACGTAAGTGCGCAGACGCCATTTTATCCGGTCCTACTCCGCACTGAGCGTGGCAGCCATTTTGTTTTGGACACCGAGCAGGAGTTGGCGGCGGCAGCTGTGGAGGCACAGACGAAAGGCAGAGAAGGGCAGGCCGGGCGACCAGGCGGATTGGCCGGCTAGGTAGTCAACCTAAACCAACGAACCGCGCATTCTACCGCTTACTTATTTAACCAACCGCCCACCTAGTGTACCCGAGCCCCTCCGCCGTCAACCCAGGTTCGGCCGGTCCCCGGCCGCCCGCCGCAGCCGTGGTGGCAGCCCCGGGAGGAGCGCTGGCGTCCGTTTCCTTTGGTGCGTTTCGGTGGGAGGAGGGGAGGGGTGGTGGAGGGGGAGGGTGGCGGACGGCGGCGGACGGCCCAGCGGCTAGGGAGGCCGGCTGTGGGCGCCGAGGCAGCGTTGGCGGGGAGGCCGGCTGTGGGCGCCGAGGCAGCGTTGGCGGGGAGGCCTACGGGGAGGGGGCGGAGCCCGAGACGGGGCGGGGCCCAGGTGGTGGCGGAGGCGGGCCGGCCTCGGCGGCGCTGGGGACGGTGGGGGTTTACTGGGGGAAAGGGGTGCCAGGGATTGAACTCAGGGTGCTTAACCACTGAGTCACGTCCCTGCCTGTTTTGCATTTATTTAGAGACAGGGTCTCCCTGAGTTGCTTAGCATCTCGATTTTGCTGAGGCTGGCTTTGAACTCGCGATCCTCCTGCCTCAGCCTCCCGAGCCGCTGGGATTACAGGCGTGCGCCACCGCGCCGGGCAGTGGTAGGGATTTAAACGAGGACTGGTGGACCTCGTGGCGGCTTTAGGGTTAAAGTCTGAGAGGGCTCTGGAGAGCTGACTCCCATATGAATGCTCATTTAGGAAACCTCTCCCACTCAATCCCATAAATCCCTAATCCCTTGCCAAGGCCCCTGAAACTGGGCATGCCCGTGTGTCTTCCCTGGATCAGTGGGTCTCAACTTTGCCCATTAGGCTGCTTATTTCCCACTAATTGCTGATCCCTGGCCTCTGCCCCTGCCACCAGAGACTGGTCTGGACCCCTGGCATCTGTATTTTTAAACGTTTCTTAGCCAAGTCTTTTGCAGCCAAGGTTGAAAAAGGTTCTCTGTATTAAAAGCCAGATTTTTTTTTTCTTTTTTTTTAATTGAAGATTGAACCCAGGGGCACTTTACCACTGACCTATGTCCCCAGCCTTTTGTTTTGAGACAGGGTCTGAGTTGCTTAATTTTTGTCATTCTCCTGCCTCCAGGCTCCGAGGTGGCTGGGATTATAGGCATGTACCACAGTGTCAGGCTAAAAGCCAGACTCTTAAACAATTTTGGCAGATGTTTGCTGTCCTTGGCCTTAAAATTTTTAATAATTTGAGACAACACTCATAAACTCCTATAATGAGTTTTGATTTTCAATAATCAGTGACATAGACCTTTTCATTCATTGTTTTGGACTTGTACCTTTTAGAAATAAAGTGGCCATTATTCTGATTTCTTCATTCTGCATGTCATCCTTTGTAGATTCTCGGGATTTGAAGATGGCTGCACAATCAGCGCCGAAAGTTGTGCTAAAAAGCACCACCAAGATGTCTCTAAATGAGCGGTGAGGCAGCCAACAGCAACTTCAGCTCCTTCCTAAGAAAACATTACTTAAATGGCCCTGGGGTCCAATGCACAAAAACGTTGTAAGCTAAATACCAACAGAAGGCTACAGACCTCTGTTCTTAGTTGCATCTTAATGTGGTACACAAAACCAATTGGGCGGTTGTTTCAAAACCCCATAACAGTAGATTTTTATGTTAAGCTGTCTGAAATATTTATCTGGTGGGATGTATTTTAAAAAGACTCCTCGCGCCCTCTCTTTTCTTCAATTTTTTTCCTTTTTTTTTTTTTTTTTTTGCATTGATACAGGGGTGGTGCAGCACGGTAGCATGATATACCCTGGCTGCAAAAGGCTTGCTGCCCAGTCCAAGGCCAGCAGTGTTGTGTCTGGCCTGTAAGAGGCAGGTAGCAAGCCATGAATATGTCCAAAGGCCCTCGAATGCCATTCCTGGGCCTTGTAAGAGGCACTTGCTTTGCTCCATTTCACTTTCTTTCCATTCTGCTTTTTAGTTTGTTTTTGTTTTGGATTCTTTTAACAGTTAAGTGTTCTTCTGTCTCATTCCATTAAGCTTAACCATGTCAGATATAATAGAGAAATATTTTCACAGGCTCTTAAATGATTAAACTAATATTTCTCAAAAGTACTCACTTGGAATTGGAAAAAATGATCCTTTGAAACTGAGAAAAGGTATTTAAAGGCAGTTTCTATCTGAGAGCTTTGTTCATTCAGTATATTTGGCCAGTAATCTTTATCAAGTTGATGTTAAAATGTCTATTTTTGCTTCTTCTGAAGCATATATACTTCTTATCTCTGAGGATGTAGAACATTAATTACTTATATTCACATGTTCCTAAGCAACATGTATTTATAAATTGATACACTCCTAAAATTTATGTGGATGTATGATTTCCCTGGCTTTGAAGATGCTCTAGGCCTTCCTCGTATTTGCCCTTAAACTGAACCCTTGAGTTCCCAAAGTTTAGGCTTTCTTTGTTTGTCTTTGAAACTACATCTTCTGTCTCTTGTCATCATATCTGCTTATTGCGTGTTTTTCATACTTTCCACCTCTCTTAAGAGCTGTTACCTGAGCCCTTGTTATCACTTTTGATTGTGCTGCACTTAGCTGCATTTCTAAGTTTCTGATTCTTGCAAGTTTTGTGGAAACAGAGGAGTCTTTAACCCACATCAGCCTTGATCTAAACGTACCACTTTACTTAAAAGTTCGTGGGATCTGGAGCTCCTGGTCTAGCAAGCCATGAAAATGCCAATAAATGTTTTGTAATAAAGCTTTTATTTAAACATCCATTTTGTTCGACCTTGAAGCTTTACTAATATGCTGAAGAACAAACAGCCGATGCCAGTGAATATTCGAGCTTCGATGCAGCAACAACAGCAGCTAGCCAGTGCCAGAAACAGAAGACTGGCCCAGCAGATGGAGAATAGACCCTCTGTCCAGGCAGCATTAAAACTTAAGCAGGTGAGAGAATGTGTCTTAATGCTCTGAAGCAGCTGGTGGTCTGTGTCAGTCCGCTGAGTGCCATGGATGATGACAGAGGCTCAGGGCCAAACCTGAAGCTTCTATGAAAGGGAAGTTCAGAGAATTCCAATTTTGGCAGGTACTGATAAATAATGTTTTATTATTTCTGTTTTAGGGAGTTTGCCATCTGTGTGGCCTGTTTGTGTTATCAGTGACTATTAATCTCTTACGTTTGGTCCTTTACCCTAAAAGTGGATTTAATGGATTTTTTTTGATACAAAGAACCTTTGTTTCAGGTTGGGGTATAGCTCAAAAGAAGAGCACTTGCCTACCATGTGCAAGGCCATGGATTTGATCCCCAGCACTGCCCAAAAAAAGAGAAGGAAAGAAACTATTTGTGTTTAGATGATCTTCAAAATATCCTTTACTTCCTGTTAAGTGATCTATATCCTAGGGAAATAATTTTATTCTTCCCTATACAGGGAATTTGGCCTTAGTCAAAAGTTTTCAGTGCTAAAATATACAAAAAGTATAGTGACTTTTGTTTCCACAGCACCTGAAGTTTTATCAGTACATTAGAGCAAGAGTTCTGAGTAGCTAACTTAAGAATTAGTGAGGTTCTCTTTCAAATTTCCAGTAAGAGATAAATCTATTCAGACCTGAAATAAAACCTGCTCTTTATTATTCATAGACTTTATATGCAAGTCCGGACATTGGCTGTGGAAGGATATGTCCAAGCTGTGGCTGGGCGTCCGGAGGGCGATGCCATGCAACTGTAAGGACTTTAACTGGTAGCACTGCATGGCTGTGCATAAATTCAGCAGTTAAATATAACACCCTCCCACCCTTATTCTGAACCACTGGCTCACTGACCAAAAATAAACAAGGCTTTCTGCTTCAGTTACCTTAAGCCTTGTAGGACTGGATCCATCTCTGACTCGGGAAAGCCAGAAGCAAAAGGCACCAACAAAGGACCTTTCAGCATGAAGCTTTCAGTATAGGCTGTGCGAGAAGTAACCTCCAGAGCAACACTGTCAGACGCTTCTGTGATGATGGAAATGCTCTGCGCTGTCCAGTACAGTAACCACTAGCCACATACGGCTATTCAGAACTTTAAATGTAGCTAGTGCTGTGGAGGAGCTTCAATAGCCACATGTGTCCAGTGGCTGTCTCAAATAGCAGCTTTAGAGTGGAAACCAGTGGTATAGTGGACATCCTTAAGTGTCCTATCAATGTTAGAAGCCAAGATTGGTAGCAGCTAGGGATGGGGATAGGAGGAGAACTCTAGGCACTGTGTAGTTCTTCATTGAAGCATAGAACTCGGGAGAATCGATATATTCAGGAAAACTGAACATGAGGCACTTACAGAATATAGTCTTGACCTCATGATTGTGTGCTGGGGCTCTGAGTGTAGCTCAGTGGTAGAGCATGTGTAAGGGTATGGATTTGACCCCTAGCACTACAAAAACAAAATAATTGTGTGCTAAGTAGAAGAGTGAGGACAGTCCCTTAAAGTTGGTTGCACCTCCTGTGCTAGATGTCTTTCTCTACTGATCAGAAGCGGCTTGTTATCTTTATCTTGTGCCTAGGAAGTTATGCCTCACAGCACAAGAGGGCTACTATTGGCCAGAGGGGGACAAGTTATTTGTGGGTTGAACCTGAGTGTGCATAAACTTCATTTACATTCATGTTGTAGAAAAATAGGCCTTGGTTGTGTGTTCAAAGCTACATTGATGAAATTTCTTTTGAAGAATTTTTTAAGATGTGATCCTCAAGGATTTATTTTTTTGAGAACAGATTATTGAAAATGTATCTCTGTAGTATGTCCTTGTCCTCATATGTGCCCCTTTGTGGTTAAAGTTCACCTGTGTTAATTCTAACAGTTTGGCTGGCTCTCTGGAGATATATTTTTGTTTATTTTGAATTAAAAGTTATAATATTGGCTTAAGGGAGCTGTTTGCAAGTGTAGATATGGAATTATGGATTTCTAAGAAATTTAAGGAAAGGAAGTTTGACTCTTGTGTTTATTTGCATCTTAAGGTAAAAAGTGGACCGTCTGGAGATAGATACTCAAAGGAAAAATGGAGCACACTGGCCTCTTTGACTGAAAAATCAATCTTGTTCTTAAGTCAAAAGAATTCAAATGAACTTGTAATTTAAATTGTGCCCAGAGTGTGGTGAACTTCCTGTGGTGTTTGAGTAAGCCTTTGAAGACAGTAGTAGTTCCTGGGCAGGTATGAATTAAGTCATGTCATTGTCAACCTGGGGTTCAGAAACAGCAAGTGTTCTTATTAAAACCTAAGTTCCAGCTGATGGTATATGACTTCTATAGCCAAATCAGTGAGGTGATTTGTGGTGATGCCAATTTCATGGGGTCATACTGAAGCTTCTTAGAGTTTATGCTCTGGAATTCTTTTATAGCATGTTCTGAGAACAAAGGTTTCTGATTTGGGATCCTTAATGATACCCACAGCAGGTTATTTCCCGCCATCTCACTTGCTTCCTTTTCTCTGCACTTAGAATTGCCACCTCTCACTGAATTGCTTTTTTGATCTCAATCCTCCAACACCTTTTCTTCCAGAAGAGCTTAAAGCAGCGCCTGGGTAAGAGTAACATCCAGGCACGGTTAGGCCGACCCATAGGGGCCCTGGCCAGGGGAGCAATTGGAGGACGAGGTCTGCCCATAATCCAGAGAGGCTTATCCAGAGGAGGACTACGTGGGGGACGTGCCACCAGAACCCTGCTTAGGGGCGGGATGTCGCTCCGAGGTCAGTGCTTTGTGTACCTGATAACTGTTGGGCCCTGTCCCCTTTCCTTTTTTCTTGGGCTGCTTATGGACACATTTGTTTAACATCTTTAATACTAAATTTGTATTAATATAATTAATAACTTTTGAAATCACATTTTTAGTAGTGCTGCATGCCTTTTATTGATACCATTCCTTTTCTGGTAATGTGCAATGGTGAGAGGCTATGACCTGCATAACAGGTAATTCATGTCATCTCCATTTCATTTTAAAGCACCCTGCTGCTGCTTGAATCAAAGCACATTCAAGTTGTAGAAATAAGTCAAGTTTAAGAAATGTATGTTAGCATATATATGAGGCCATGGGTTCAATCCCCAGCACCAAAAAAATAAAGAAATGTATGGGTCTTCGGCCTATATCAAAACTAAACATGTCTGTTCCTGGTGCTAGCACAACACTGTTAATCATCTGAAAGAAAGAGAGGAAAAGTTGACCAATAGTACTTAACCTATATCTTGTAATTTGGGCACTGCTATTCTATTCCCTGTATAGTTTTTAAATTTGTTAAAAGTATGTACTTAATTAACTCCCAACTTCCCAAGATGGATTTGTGGTCAGAAATGTTGAACTGATACAAATAATGAGCAACTTAATCTGGTCACACTCTCAAGTGTGCAGCTTGCCCTACCCAGCTTACGAACTAACTGAATTACTTTAATTTAACCCTCACCGCCTTCCTTTGGTTAGAATCTACTTTTGTTTCTCTTGGATTTACCTGCATATACATTGTATGCCTCCTCTCCAAGGTCAAAACCTGCTCCGAGGTGGACGAGCCGTAGCTCCCCGAATGGGCTTAAGAAGAGGTGGTGTTCGAGGTCGTGGAGGTCCTGGGAGAGGGGGCCTAGGGCGTGGAGCTATGGGTCGTGGCGGAATCGGTGGTAGAGGTTAGTCAGCTACCAACTTCAGAGAGTAGCTCCCCCTATTTCCTTCCTTTAAAAACTCAGAGCCACCTTTCTGCACAGCTTCAAGTCACAGGCAGGCTTGTTTGTTTGTCTTGTTTTGTTTTTTGAAACTGGCTTATTTCCTAAATTCACATGCTGGTAGATTGAAAGTCTGTCATAATTTTTCTAAGAGCCAGTCAGGTACATATTACAGAACCAGATATTATGCAGTGTTCCCCTAGGTTCTTACAGATTTAAATTTTAAAAATTTTAAATAACAAAGTGGTTAGTTTGGAATTTTGTCTTTTACTATTTCTGCCCCATCACTACCACATGCCCATCTTCTAGCTTAAAACCTCACATTAACTCAGATAAGAATAGAGGAGGCATCGCTTCTTGGCCTTTTGGCTAAGATCAAGTGATGAAGAATAGAGGAGGCAGCCTGGGGGTATGGCCCCTGGCTTCAATCCCCACTACCCTACACAAACAAACACAAAAAATGTGAACAGAAAGAAGGTAGTAAGAGGCTGGGAATATAGGTCAGTGGTAGAGCTCATGCTTAGCACCATGAGGCCCTGGGTTCCATCCCCAGCATGGGGAGTGAAAGTCAAAGAGGGTGGGACTTGGCGCTGAGCAGTGGCTCTGAAATAAGTGAAGTTTCTGCTTATGGGGAACCAGAGAGGTTTTTCTGATAAAGGTAGGAAATTAAATGATATTACTGTCAGTTAACTAACTGGCTTTTGCTGATAATCTTACCTTTGAGGTCTTGATATTTGTCTTTTCATCTCATAACCCATATTGGGGGGGATTGGTGGTGGTGTTTTTGCCAAATCTCATGGGGGCTTTCTGACTTAGAATTTAGTGAGAAACTCCCACCACTGTCTGTTCAAGCGGAACAGCCCCTGTGTGTATTTGCTTCATTCCTTTAAAGTGTGTTGTGGGTCTTCACAATTTATAACCCGGACATTGCCAAAGAAGATATTAACTGGGAAAGGGCATTAGATAGCCAAGGGCTATTTTTTTCTCTTTCATTATATACTATGTGGGTTTTTTGGGGGTTTTTTGTTGTTGTTTTTTGTTTTTTTTTTTTTTTTTTTTTTTTTTAGTGAAATGCAAGGTAGTTTGGTTTCAGGATGAAATAGGTTGTTTTCAAATTATCTCAACTTGATTTTTGAGAGATCACATGGGTAGGAAGATTAAAATGACTCTTCAGAAAGCTGGGTGTATTTTGTTAAGTGAATTGAAACTACCTCTCAGATAACCACCTTGTCGTGAGGTGCCTAGAATCAGAGATAAAGAGGCTGGTACTCAGCATGTTTTTCTAATCACATTGTCTGTGTCAAAGAGAAACCCTCAATAAACTGACACATGGAGTCAGTTCATTAGCCTTAATAAAATTAAGGAGAGAACTTTCCAGAGGGTATCAACTAAAGCTTAATTTGAATGTCTGCCTTCGCATCCCTGATTCTCTGTGCCCTTTTTACTACCTCCCTGTTACTAAATTCAATTATCTATTATGTATTTTAATTATGAATTTAGAGGGGGGTCTCAAACATTAGGGAATTTCTTTCTTAGAAGAGATAATCTGTTTATTAGCCGATTATTTTCCATTTGTTGATTTAAAAAATTTTAGATAGTATTTAGAGAGGAGCATGTAATAAGGGATTCATTATATGTGCTTTCCATGTGTTGCTTTCTATCCAGTGTGTTTCTTGTTTCTCCAGATTTCTCCTCCTCTCTGCCCTGCCCTTCAGCTTTCTCAGCTAGGCCCCACTGCTCTAAGGGGCATTTACGTAGCTCCCATTAAACCTACTTGTAACTGTCTTTTTTTCTTCCCCTCCTTGGGCCAGGTCGGGGCATGATAGGTCGGGGAAGAGGGGGTTTTGGAGGCCGAGGCCGAGGCCGTGGAAGGGGAAGAGGTGCCCTCACTCGCCCTGTATTGACCAAGGAGCAGCTGGACAACCAGTTGGATGCGTACATGTCGAAAACTAAAGGACACCTGGATGCCGAGTTGGATGCCTACATGGCACAGACAGATCCAGAAACCAACGATTGAAGCCTGCCTGCCTGTCCTTCTGTGAGAGACTCTTGTTAAGTCACCACATCTGTAAATAACCTTGAGATAACAGATGAGAAGAAACTGATTGATGCTGGAAGGACCTATCTCAATAGGCTGTGGACTCACCTGTCACCAGTTTGTGCATTTAGTGTGTTCCTTTTACTTTTTGATACTGTGTTGTATGAAACTCTTTTTTTCCTTTGATTTAGTTGGGGTTTTTTTGTTTTTTTTGTTTTCCTCTTCCCTTCACCCAGACTTTGAAGATGAATGTGTTGGCCTTGTGGGTAGAACACTTTGCCTACCTCTGCCTCCCTTCACCTATATCATACACTGACATTCTCTGTGCCCCCACAAAAAGTTCCAGAAAGAGCCAGTTTTCCTCCTTGATGCCTTGGTTTCTGAGATAGAATTCTGTTGTACATCCTATTTAATAGCCTCTTAGAAGTGTTAAGAAAATCTGGAGCTGAAAAATAACGTTTTGCTGCATTGTTAATGATGTAGTAAATTGGGAACATTGACATTGCTATAGGGACACATAACAGGTTACCATGGTATCTGCTTTGACTGAAGTTGCTACCAGGTGCGTGGATACCACATCATTGATGACCAGCATGCTGGATTGGATACGTGTATTTTCTACCCTCAGATGAGATTTTTGAGCTTGCCTCTTGGTGGCTTTGTATCATATCCAGAGGGATGGGCTGCCTTACACCTGCAATCGAGAGGAAGAAGCCCTTTGGTTTGACTCACACAGCACAGGGAGAGGAATGGGGCAGTAGGGAGACCACCACTGGAAAGGATCAGGAGCTGCCCGTGCCAGAATGCAGTTATCATGTTTGTCCCAGGCCACTGTTGGGCTTCTCCATTGTTGGCTTTATTTGATCCTCCTCTTTCTCTTGAAGGTTTAAGTTCAACCATATTCTGTCAACTGTTCCCAGTTTCAGTGGAATCTTGTATTTCTGGTTCATTATAACAAATTGTTCTCTCAAATCCAACCAGGACTCTCTCTCTCTTTGTTGGGCTCCTGAGGTGCTGTAGCTCTTTTAATGTTATCTTAATGTACCCCTTGTGTAGTTGAGAATCGTTCCTGGTCGTATTAAAATTCTTGGTTGTGGGGGAGGTGAGGGTGACTTTGAGGCAGAGGGTGAAAGTTTTTGCCCTCCTTCGATCCACTTATAAAGTAATGAACTGGCTATGGGAACCTAAATGGAGATAGTCCTTGGACCCTAACATAATTTGCCTTGCTGTTTGGCCACCCACAATAAGCCCCTTGCCATTGATTGAGCTGCTGTGTGGCATCCTACACATTAGGATCCTGGAGGGATATTTTGGTCATGACAACCTGAACTTGGATTCTTACCTGTTTTGAGATGGGACATCCGAGGAACCCAGAGAAATTGAATAGTGACTAGGCAAAGCTAAATCCCCTAGCTTGGCTCCTTCATCTTTTCTAGTGCAGAAGCACAAGCAGCAAGAAGAGCTGGATGTTGGGGTCCCCCTCCCCGTAGAGGAGGCTGATGCTTAATTGAAGGCCTTAGCAAAGAGGTGGCCACTGTAGCCCAGGTCCCATTTTTCTGGGCCTCTTAACTCAAAGGAATTCCTCCCCCAGGGAGAGGCACTGGAAGCTCTGCCCTAGGAGCTTTGGGCTCTCCAGCCTCACCGGCTGTTCATTGCAGTTATCTAATTGTCCTGGGGCCTGTCCCCACTGCCATCCTCAGTCCAAGGTAAGTGCCGCAGGAAGAGTAGGATGGGTATGCCTGGCTGCTTTCACCCACTTGGCTGCCATCTACTGAAGGCTTTGAGGCCAGCAAGGCATTGTTTCATAGAAGAACATTGGGAACATGGAAAATGTAAAGACAAGGGGGGATGATATTCCCAGTTCATAGAACGAGGAGACAGCTTATAACAGAGTACTTTGACGTTCTGCATACACGGAGTATAACTTACCATTCTTGTGGTCATGGGGTTACACTGGTCGGGTGTTTGTACGTGAACTAGGGGGAGGAGCAGTGGGTGTCCAGGGTAGGAGAGGTCTCAGTGTGTGGTTGTCCTGGAGCCTGATTACTGAAGCGCTTGGCCTTTGTAATTTGGGTGGTTTTAATAAGCAGAGCACACAGGATGATTCCTAGAACTCTAGTGAGATGACAGCGGGGCAAGGTCCCAGCTACCCACTTGACACTGCCTAAAGTCTTAATGGCAGTGTCTCAGGCTTCCTATGGCCTTTTTAGGCCCCCCAGGAATGCAGCCCACAGAGCCTCTGGAAGTGGGGCAGGCCTTGGAGGGAAGCAAGGGGTCCAAAGAGACCAGAACCTGAAGGGGGCCTGGCCTGGTGCTACCCCTGGTACCACTGCAGGCCCACCTCTCATTGATTGTCCAATGAGCATGGGAAGGGCAAAAGGGCCCGAGCGCCATTTTCCTGGGGTCCTCTAGGGACTCACCTCTTGTTCTCTTCTTCCCCAAATTTCATTGACAGACACTTGACCTCTTGATTTCTCGACCTTTCCCCAAAACCACCCTTTAACCTCTTACAAGGGATCTCTACGGTCCAGACTTCTTTATTAAGGTTTTAACTGGAAATGCCATTGAGAGAATGGTCCAGGTGCCACCTGACTGCACCCTGTTCACTACGGGTGGCAGTGTGGACCCAGCAGGGAAAGGGGTGGAGGCTTCCACTCCTTCCTGAGTGGGCTTTCGGACCTCTTCCACACCCAGGCTGCAGACCCCACCAGGCCTGCTGGGGGCCCTGACGTGTGGCTCAGGAGCAAGAGGGAAAGATGAGAGGAAATCTGTAGCAGGTAAGAATGACACCCAGAGGTGGAGAGAGGTCTGAGATGGCTCTGGGACCCACAAGGGCAGCAGCCCCATTGTGAGCCTGTGTTGGGTCAGGGCCCGAGACTGACAGCTGAGGCCTGCAGGAGACCCCCTAGGGTATTCACTTTACACATAGGTTGGACATATTACATTAATTTATGTACCCTCGCTGTAAGGCTATTATCAGCTCAAGAAAAAACACCCGGGGGCAAGAAGGGGACACAGCAAAAATTCTAAAAGGAAGAGTCTTGGGTGAAAGGGGTTCCCCCAAATGTCCTGAATCTCTCCTTTGGGTTTTTGTTTTCCTGTACTGGGAATTGAACCCAGGGGCACTTGACCATTGGACTGTATCCCCACCCCTATTTTTGTCCTTTTTTTTTTTTTTTTTAGTTGAAGATGTCTATTTTTCTCTTTAGATATGATACATGACAGTAAAGTATACTTTGACATTCTTCGTACGTGGAGTATAACTTACCATTCTTGTCATTGTGGAGTTGTGGGTTTACACTGGTCGTGTGTTCAGACATGAACATAGGAATGTTATGTCAGATTCTTTTTTACTCTTCTATTCCCATCTTTTCTCCCTTCCCTTTATTCTCCTTTGTTTAATACGATGAACTTCTGTTATCCCCCCATCTTATTGCATGTTAGCATCCACATATTAGAACATTTTGCCTTTGGTTTGGGGGATTGGCTTATTTCACTTAGCATGATAGTCTTCAATTCCATCCATTTACCAGCAAATGCCATAATTTCATTCTTTATGCCTGGGTAATATTCCATTGTGTATCTATACACCACATATTCTCCATTCATCTGTTGAGGGCCCCTGGGTTGGTTCCATAGCTTAGCTACTGTGAATTGATGTAGCTGTGTTACTATAGTATGTTGATTTAAAGTCCGTTTGGTACCCAGACCTTTTTTTTTTTTTCAAATTTTAAGAGACAGGGTCTCACTAAGTTGCCAAGGCTGGTCTTGAACTTGGGGTCTCCTGCCTCAGCCTCCTGAGTCCCTAGGGTGACAGGCATGTGCTGCAGTGCCTGGCTCTCCTTTGGATTTTTTTTTTTTTTTTTTTAGTTGTAGGTGGACACAATACCTTTTTATTTTTATGTGGTGCTGAGGCTCAAGCCCAGGGCCTCACACATGCTAGGCAAGCGCTCTACCTCGGGGCCCCAGCCCCAGCCCTCCTTTGGATTTTAACTGAAAGCACATCCTTCCAAAATTTCAGGGGAAGAGCCAGGCATAGAACAGAGAAGACAACGATGATGAGAAAGACAAAAGTGGACCAAAGGCCCTCAGTGACCTCAGCACTCAAGGCCAGGACCACATCCTTAGTCTCTCCTTTGTGATGAGCAGGAGCCCTGGAGTCTGACCTGAGAATTCACCTGGGGGGACGTGGGGGGTGGTAGCCCTCTGGAAGCACCAGCTGATAAGCTGGAAACCAGGCTTCCTGCTGCCCACCCTGACCCTCCCCTGCCCACTGCCACATTGCCCCTTCAGTTCCTCTGTTGGAACACACTAGGGCTCCCCAGAGTTCTGGCCTCCCAGAAAGCAAGCTGGACCAGGAAGGAATATCTCAAACCTGTCCTTTGGATCTGACAGAGGCCCAAGAAGCCAGACTCAGGTGATCCTTCCCAGTTGAAGCATTACCAAGTCACCATTCTGTGGCCCCCTTCTCCCAAAAGAACCTCAGCTACAGGGTGCAATGCTACATACCTGTAATCCCAGCTGCTTAAAGTTTAAAGCCAGCCTCAGCAATTTAGCAAGGCCCTAGGTAACTTAGGGAGACTCTGTCTTAAAAAGTAGCCAGGTACGGGGTGGTGAACACCTGTAATCATAGCAACTCTGGAGGCTAAGGCAGGAGGATTGAGAGTACAAACCCAGCCTCAGCAACCTAGCAAGACCCTTTATCTAATAAAATATTTTAAAGGGCTGGGGATGTGGCTCAGTGATTAAGCACTCCTGGGTTCAATCCATGGTATAAAAAACAAAAAACCCTCTGCCAATCCTGACTTCCTCCCCAGGCTCCTCAATAGGTATAGGTACAGGTGACCTCCAGGCAGAGGGCACTATGTGACCCGCTGCCTGAACAAAGACAAGTATGTCCCTGCAGAGCTTCCTCGGGGACCTACCCCAGGACCCACCTGAAGGCAGTCAGCAAGAAAAAGATAGTTCAACCAGAGCACCACCCAGAGGATGGGGAGAATGAAGTCAGCGGAAGGAGCTTCAGAAGTAGGACAGAGCTCAAGTTTCCAGGAGCTGATGAAGGACCCTGAAATCTAGAACAGGAAGGTTTACGGGCACTGAAATTCCTACAGCACCCAACCCGGCACCCCGAGAAAACCGGCTGCGGGAGGATTCCGCTGGGTTGAGGATTGGCAATGTGAGCACCTCTGAGTTGGCAGGACGTCCTGACCTCCAGCCTCCTGCCAAGGGTTTACCTGCTCCAGTTGGCCTGCAGCAGACACAGCCACATTTCTCTCTGCCACCTATGACTGACAGAGGCTGCTGGCACTGTGATGGGCAGGATTTATACATCCACTTTAGAAATCTGTGAACGGCTGGCAGCCAGATTGACCACACCACTTCACTGGCCAAATGGAGATGCGGCTACACCAGGCGCCGCTGCTGTGGGACCAGGGAGTGCACTTTATGCTAGAACTCAGCCTGATCCCCAGCTCTAGCTGCCCAGGCTTTGGGGCGCATGTCCGAGTGCCCACTGGGCATCAGTCTGCTGGCTATAAGCACCAAAGAGACTTCAGAAGTGAAAAATGCTGTGAATCTGAGGCTGGGGATGTGGCTCAAGCGGTAGCGCGCTCGCCTGGCATGCGTGCGGCCCGGGTTCGATCCTCAGCGCCACATACAAACAAAGATGTTATGTCCGCCAAAAACTAAAAAACAAATTTAAAAAAATATTTTTAAAAAATGCTGTGAATCTCCTCTGCTACCCTGTGGAGAAAACAGAGACCGAAGACAGGCCTTCCGAGTCTGTCAGCAGAAAGTAGGCTTGGCTGCACGCCTGTAATCCCAGGAATTTGGGAGGCTGAAGCAGGAGGATCACAAGTTGGAGGTCAGCCTCAGCAATTTAGTGAGGCTCTGTCTCAAAATGAAAAAGGCTGGGGACATAACTCAGTGGTAAATGCCTCTAGGTGTGCCGCAGTCTGGCTGGGCACAAATCACGAGC